TCCGCGCCCACGTTATTTGCGAGGATTTCGAAGCCCCACAGTTCCGCGCCCACGTTATTTGCGAGGGTTTCGAAGCCCCAGCATTCCGCGCCCACGTTATTTGCTAGGTTTTCAAAACCCCAGAATTCGGCGCCCATGTTATTTGCGAGGTTTTCACAGCCCCAGAGTTCCGCGCCCATGTTCCCCAAGTTGTTTGCGAGGATTTCGAAGCTCCACAATTCCGCACCCACGTTATTTGCGAGGATTTCGAAGCCCCACAGTTCCGCGCCCACGTTATTTGCGAGGGTTTCGAAGCCCCAGAATTCCGCGCCCACGTTATTTGCTAGGTTTTCAAAGCCCCAGAACTTCGCGCCCATGTTATTTGCGAGGTTTTCAAAGCCCCAGAGTTCCGTGCCCACGCGCCAACGCCGCAACCCGCAGAGGGGTTACGTTTGTTTGTCAAAAAAGGCCAAAACACGATGGTTTTGGCACCGCGCCAACGCCGAAACCCGCAGAGGGTTGCCTGCGGCCACGGAAAAAAGTTCCAAAAACGACGGTTTTAGCACCGCGACCCGGCGATCACCCGCAGAGGGTTGTCCGCGGACACAAAGAAACGTAAAAAAAACGACGGTTTTGGCACCGCGACCACGCCGAAACCCGCAGAGGGTTGTCCGCGGCCACAAAGAAACGTAAAAAAACGACGGTTTTGGCACCGCGACCACGCCGAAACCCGCAGAGGGTTGTCCGCCGTAAAAAAACGACGGTTTTAGCAGCGCGACCACGCCGAAACCCGCAGAGGGTTGCAATCCCGATTGGCGATGTCAACCCAGCCCGCCGCCTTAGAAAGAGTAATTTTAATTTAGAAATCTAGGACTGGGTACGAAGGTCTAGTAAATTCTACGTAAATCTAGAAATTTGTATTCACTGATTACTAAACTCTATGCAATTCACTCTATGCAATTCACTCTATGCACTTCCCTCTATGCACTTCACTCTATGCACTTCACTCTATGCACTTCACTCTATGCACTTCACTCTATGCACTTCACTCTATGCACTTCACTCTATGCACTTCACTCTATGCACTTCACTCTATGCACTTCACTCTATGCGCTTCACTCTGTGCACTTCACTCTGTGCACTTGCCTCTATGCACTTCACTCTATGCACTTTGCTCTATGCGCTTCACTCTATGCACTTCGCTCTATGCACTTCACTCTATGCACTTCGCTCTATGCACTTCACTCTATGCACTTCACTCTGTGCACTTCACTCTATGCACTTCACTCTATGCACTTCACTCTATGCACTTCACTCTATGCACTTCACTCTATGCACTTCACTCTATGCACTTCAGTCTATGTTGTTGTGTCAGGGGGCTCCGCACGGAAGAACCCTTCGCGATGCTTTCGGGAAAACCGAAAGCCTCACCTTCCACCTCATCTCTAGAGCTGGGTAGGGCTGGGGCGGGGGGAGGGATGGGGAGCGTTCAGGGCGAACTGAACTCTTCGTGCCCGAATCGAAGGCACAAATCTTCAATGCAGCTTCGGCGGCTCCACGAAGCCGCAGTACAAGAAAATCTGCAGCCAGCCTCCCAGTGACGCTCACTCGCATGGCTGACGCTTCCCAACACCCTTTCGACTTCGGCAAGCACATTGTTCCCCCACTCAGTGCCTGCGAAGGGGACCACCTTCAAGGCAGCCAGGCCGTTGGGGATGTCTGAGAAGTTCAGGTCCTCAGCACGGGGTGCTCCGGCTCTGGGCTAGCAGATGTTCGTTGTCAGCCCGATCCCAATGCCCTACGCACAAACGGCAGTTCTTGAGGCTGTTCAGACATTTCAGACCAGCCAAGAGTCCGATGCGCAGATGCCGCCGAACTTTCCCAGCTCGGGAGTGATGTAGCCTGGGCAGCATGAGGAAAACACTGAATAGCCAGGCAAGTTTCAGGCGAATGACAGAACGGACACTAAGCCCCTAAGCCCCTGGCCCATGGTGGCCAGCATCGCGATTCGGCCGTGCCTCAGAGCGCAAGCGGTGCCAAAAAACGAGGTCTAGAATGCCACCATCCCATCGAGAGTCGGATTCAGGGCCATTCGTGGCCCGTTCTCCGCGCCCGTTCCCCAACTTGCCCGTGCCCTTTGCTCAAGCCCACCCCCACCCGCCCTCCAGGGGCCGCGCTTGATCTCCACGGCGCGGCGGCGCTTGAAGTTCTCGGCGCTGCCATCCTCACAGGCTCGCAGATGCTCACGCTGGTGCCATCCCACTTAAGGGTTTCGGATGGCGGACGTGCCGCGGGAAGTCCTTGGTGAAGCCGACGGGGTCCCAAAATCCCAGCGGCGGCTGGGCGCCGAGCTCCTCCGCAGCGCACAACATAAGTCCAAGCACCAAGCGTGGAGGCTCAAAGTATAAGCATGTCACATGCGATAACCAGAGGTATCGTACCTCTATATATTCCTACGGTCACTATAGTCACTTTTCTATCGTCACTTTTGTCGCTATAGCTGCCCAAACATTCATAAACCCCAAGTCCCTCAACATCCGAGCTACAAGTAGGTTTGAAGCCGCCAGAAGCCAGTCCTGCTCAAAGGCCCTCAGCGGCGAGGCCGTGTAGTTGGCCCAGTCGCCTGGGACGCTGGCAGGGTAACTAACGCCTGGCTGCTAAGCCCTGGTTACTTCTCTTGACAGTCATTCGCTTTCATGCTGGTGTTTCAAGCGACCTGTGTGCCCCGTACGACACGTGCCGCTGGCTTTATGTCAGGGGCGGTTTGTGTTAGGATTCCGGGCGGGTCTCGCCGCTGCGGCGATGGCGATGTCACCTTCGTGCCCTCGCTAGAGCAGTTTTAACTCTCAGGACTCCCAGATGCTGCCCAGTGGCCCCAGGCAGAGCCGGTGAGGCCGTCCTGGAAGAACATGCCTGGGCCCCGCGCTGGCAACAGGTTGGGAAACATGCATCTATGGATCAGAAGCCCCCTTGTTCTTCCTTCTTCGCACTCCCGACGAGACCCGCAGCTCTGCAACTTCCTCACCGTCCCTATCACGGTCGAAGCGGGTTGCGTAGCCCTACAGTTCAAGCCGGGCCACCGATGATCGCCATCATGGCCAGGCGGCCGTTCGCCAGCTCAGCGGCCAACCTCCTGCGGTTGGCGCCAGCCCTAAACATCCCTAAGCCCACAACCCTCCTCAACCCCAAGCTGTGAGAGCCTAGGGAAACAGTGTGTTTTGCTGCGTAAAGCAAGAAGCCTTCCAATCTTGGCTTGCATGGACTGATATGCATTGCCGCCTCTGCTTGGTCTCGTCGTCGCCAGCGGAGAGCAGAGGCGGGTTCCAGCCCACATCGCCAGGCCTCCGCAGGATGGGGATGGTTTGGGGTTGATTGGGAAGGGGCTGCGAAGCTGATGCTTGTCACGGCCCCTGCCTCTTGCTGCCCCAAGCATCCTCACCGAGACCTCCGGAGAACCTGAACGGGATGGGCGCTGTTGTTTGTTGGGATGCATGGAGCTGTGAAACCAGGCCTGTCCAAAGATACCGGGAAGAGGCTTAAGCTTAGACGCCCCATAAAAACCGAAAGCCTCACCTTCCACCTCATCTCTAGAGCTGGGTAGGGCTGGGGCGGGGGGAGGGAGGGGGAGCGTTCAGGGCGAACTGAACTCTTCGTGCCCCCGAATCGAAGGCACAAATCTTCAATGCAGCTTCGGCGGCTCCACGAAGCCGCAGTACAAGAAGATCTGCAGCCAGCCTCCCAGTGACGCTCACTCGCATGGCTGACGCTTCCCAACACCCTTTCGACTTCGGCAAGCACAGTGTTCCCCCACTCAGTGCCTGCGAAGGGGACCACCTTCAAGGCAGCCAGGCCGTTGGGGATGTCTGAGAAGTTCAGGTCCTCAGCACGGGGTGCTCCGGCTCTGGGCTAGCAGATGTTCGTTGCCAGCCCGATCCCAATGCCCTACGCACAAACGGCAGTTCTTGAGGCTGTTCAGACATTTCAGACCAGCCAAGAGTCCGATGCGCAGATGCCGCCGAACTTTCCCAGCTCGGGAGTGATGTAGCCTGGGCAGCATGAGGAAAACACTGAACCCTAACTCCCTGACCACGTCCCCTACACGACGCGTTTAGCCAGGCAAGTTTCAGGCGAATGACAGAACGGACACTAAGCCCCTAAGCCCCTGGCCCATGGTGGCCAGCATCGCGATTCGGCCGTGCCTCAGAGCGCAAGCGGTGCCAAAAAACGAGGTCTGGACTGCCACCATCCCATCCGAGAGTCGGATTCAGGGCCATTCGTGGCCCGTTCTCCGCGCCCGTTCCCCAACTTGCCCGTGCCCTTTGCTCAAGCCCACCCCCACCCGCCCTCCAGGGGCCGCGCTTGATCTCCACGGCGCGGCGGCGCTTGAAGTTCTCGGCGCTGCCATCCTCACAGGCTCGCAGATGCTCACGCTGGTGCCATCCCACTTAAGGGTTTCGGATGGCGGACGTGCAGCGGGAAGTCCTTGGTGAAGCCGACGGGGTCCCAAAATCCCAGCGGCGGCTGGGCGCCGAGCTCCTCCGCAGCGCACAACATAAGTCCAAGCACCAAGCGTGGAGGCTCAAAGTATAAGCATGTCACATGCGATAACCAGAGGTATCGTACCTCTATATATTCCTACGGTCACTATAGTCACTTTTCTATCGTCACTTTTGTCGCTATAGCTGCCCAAACATTCATAAACCCCAAGTCCCTCAACATCCGAGCTACAAGTAGGTTTGAAGCCGCCAGAAGCCAGTCCTGCTCAAAGGCCCTCAGCGGCGAGGCCGTGTAGTTGGCCCAGTCGCCTGGGACGCTGGCAGGGTAACTAACGCCTGGCTGCTAAGCCCTGGTTACTTCTCTTGACAGTCATTCGCTTTCATGCTGGTGTTTCAAGCGACCTGTGTGTCCCGTACGACACGTGCCGCTGGCTTTATGGCAGGGGCGGTTTGTGTTAGGATTCCGGGCGGGTCTCGCCGCTGCGGCGATGGCGATGTCACCTTCGTGCCCTCGCTAGAGCAGTTTTAACTCTCAGGACTCCCAGATGCTGCCCAGTGGCCCCAGGCAGAGCCGGTGAGGCCGTCCTGGAAGAACATGCCTGGGCCCCGCGCTGGCAACAGGTTGGGAAACATGCATCTATGGATCAGAAGCCCCCTTGTTCTTCCTGCTTCGCACTCCCGACGAGACCCGCAGCTCTGCAACTTCCTCACCGTCCCTATCACGGTCGAAGCGGGTTGCGTAGCCCCACAGTTCAAGCCGGGCCACCGATGATCGCCATCATGGCCAGGCGGCCGTTCGCCAGCTCAGCGGCCAACCTCCTGCGGTTGGCGCCAGCCCTAAACATCCCTAAGCCCACAACCCTCCTCAACCCCAAGCTGTGAGAGCCTAGGGAAACAGTGTGTTTTGCTGCGTAAAGCAAGAAGCCTTCCAATCTTGGCTTGCATGGACTGATATGCATTGCCGCCTCTGCTTGGTCTCGTCGTCGCCAGCGGAGAGCAGAGGCGGGTTCCAGCCCACATCGCCAGGCCTCCGCAGGATGGGGATGGTTTGGGGTTGATTGGGAAGGGGCTGCGAAGCTGATGCTTGTCACGGCCCCTGCCTCTTGCTGCCCCAAGCATCCTCACCGAGACCTCCGGAGAACCTGAACGGGATGGGCGCTGTTGTTTGTTGGGATGCATGGAGCTGTGAAACCAGGCCTGTCCAAAGATACCGGGAAGAGGCTTAAGCTTAGACGCCCCATAAAAACCGAAAGCCTCACCTTCCACCTCATCTCTAGAGCTGGGTAGGGCTGGGGCGGGGGGAGGGAGGGGGAGCGTTCAGGGCGAACTGAACTCTTCGTGCCCCCGAATCGAAGGCACAAATCTTCAATGCAGCTTCGGCGGCTCCACGAAGCCGCAGTACAAGAAGATCTGCAGCCAGCCTCCCAGTGACGCTCACTCGCATGGCTGACGCTTCCCAACACCCTTTCGACTTCGGCAAGCACAGTGTTCCCCCACTCAGTGCCTGCGAAGGGGACCACCTTCAAGGCAGCCAGGCCGTTGGGGATGTCTGAGAAGTTCAGGTCCTCAGCACGGGGTGCTCCGGCTCTGGGCTAGCAGATGTTCGTTGCCAGCCCGATCCCAATGCCCTACGCACAAACGGCAGTTCTTGAGGCTGTTCAGACATTTCAGACCAGCCAAGAGTCCGATGCGCAGATGCCGCCGAACTTTCCCAGCTCGGGAGTGATGTAGCCTGGGCAGCATGAGGAAAACACTGAATAGCCAGGCAAGTTTCAGGCGAATGACAGAACGGACACTAAGCCCCTAAGCCCCTGGCCCATGGTGGCCAGCATCGCGATTCGGCCGTGCCTCAGAGCGCAAGCGGTGCCAAAAAACGAGGTCTGGACTGCCACCATCCCATCCGAGAGTCGGATTCAGGGCCATTCGTGGCCCGTTCTCCGCGCCCGTTCCCCAACTTGCCCGTGCCCTTTGCTCAAGCCCACCCCCACCCGCCCTCCAGGGGCCGCGCTTGATCTCCACGGCGCGGCGGCGCTTGAAGTTCTCGGCGCTGCCATCCTCACAGGCTCGCAGATGCTCACGCTGGTGCCATCCCACTTAAGGGTTTCGGATGGCGGACGTGCAGCGGGAAGTCCTTGGTGAAGCCGACGGGGTCCCAAAATCCCAGCGGCGGCTGGGCGCCGAGCTCCTCCGCAGCGCACAACATAAGTCCAAGCACCAAGCGTGGAGGCTCAAAGTATAAGCATGTCACATGCGATAACCAGAGGTATCGTACCTCTGTATATTCCTACGGTCACTATAGTCACTTTTCTATCGTCACTTTTGTCGCTATAGCTGCCCAAACATTCATAAACCCCAAGTCCCTCAACATCCGAGCTACAAGTAGGTTTGAAGCCGCCAGAAGCCAGTCCTGCTCAAAGGCCCTCAGCGGCGAGGCCGTGTAGTTGGCCCAGTCGCCTGGGACGCTGGCAGGGTAACTAACGCCTGGCTGCTAAGCCCTGGTTACTTCTCTTGACAGTCATTCGCTTTCATGCTGGTGTTTCAAGCGACCTGTGTGCCCCGTACGACACGTGCCGCTGGCTTTATGTCAGGGGCGGTTTGTGTTAGGATTCCGGGCGGGTCTCGCCGCTGCGGCGATGGCGATGTCACCTTCGTGCCCTCGCTAGAGCAGTTTTAACTCTCAGGACTCCCAGATGCTGCCCAGTGGCCCCAGGCAGAGCCGGTGAGGCCGTCCTGGAAGAACATGCCTGGGCCCCGCGCTGGCAACAGGTTGGGAAACATGCATTTTGGATCAGAAGCCCCCTTGTTCTTCCTTCTTCGCACTCCCGACGAGACCCGCAGCTCTGCAACTTCCTCACCGTCCCTATCACGGTCGAAGCGGGTTGCGTAGCCCTACAGTTCAAGCCGGGCCACCGATGATCGCCATCATGGCCAGGCGGCCGTTCGCCAGCTCAGCGGCCAACCTCCTGCGGTTGGCGCCAGCCCTAAACATCCCTAAGCCCACAACCCTCCTCAACCCCAAGCTGTGAGAGCCTAGGGAAACAGTGTGTTTTGCTGCGTAAAGCAAGAAGCCTTCCAATCTTGGCTTGCATGGACTGATATGCATTGCCGCCTCTGCTTGGTCTCGTCGTCGCCAGCGGAGAGCAGAGGCGGGTTCCAGCCCACATCGCCAGGCCTCCGCAGGATGGGGATGGTTTGGGGTTGATTGGGAAGGGGCTGCGAAGCTGATGCTTGTCACGGCCCCTGCCTCTTGCTGCCCCAAGCATCCTCACCGAGACCTCCGGAGAACCTGAACGGGATGGGCGCTGTTGTTTGTTGGGATGCATGGAGCTGTGAAACCAGGCCTGTCCAAAGATACCGGGAAGAGGCTTAAGCTTAGACGCCCCATAAAAAACCGAAAGCCTCACCTTCCACCTCATCTCTAGAGCTGGGTAGGGCTGGGGCGGGGGGAGGGAGGGGGAGCGTTCAGGGCGAACTGAACTCTTCGTGCCCCCGAATCGAAGGCACAAATCTTCAATGCAGCTTCGGCGGCTCCACGAAGCCGCAGTACAAGAAGATCTGCAGCCAGCCTCCCAGTGACGCTCACTCGCATGGCTGACGCTTCCCAACACCCTTTCGACTTCGGCAAGCACATTGTTCCCCCACTCAGTGCCTGCGAAGGGGACCACCTTCAAGGCAGCCAGGCCGTTGGGGATGTCTGAGAAGTTCAGGTCCTCAGCACGGGGTGCTCCGGCTCTGGGCTAGCAGATGTTCGTTGCCAGTCCGATCCCAATGCCCTATGCACAAACGGCAGTTCTTGAGGCTGTTCAGACATTTCAGACCAGCCAAGAGTCCGATGCGCAGATGCCGCCGAACTTTCCCAGCTCGGGAGTGATGTAGCCTGGGCAGCATGAGGAAAACACTGAACCCTAACTCCCTGACCCCGTCCCCTACACGACACGTTTAGCCAGGCAAGTTTCAGGCGAATGACAGAACGGACACTAAGCCACTAAGCCCCTGGCCCATGGTGGCCAGCATCGCGATTCGGCCGTGCCTCAGAGCGCAAGTGGTGCCGTGAGCTCAGCCTCTTTGGGTCGCTTTGTACTGGGTTTCCGCTAGTGCACCGGCATGCTGCTCTCGTGCTTGTTCTATCGCTCCTGAGCTGTCTCCACCTTGCGTGCCACCTCTTTCTTAAGGCATCCGTCTGGCACTGCATCGGCAAACGCTCAAGCTGGCTTTGGTACACATCACAAAAGCGTTGAAGCGTGCATTGCCATTTTTGAGCTATCTGCCTCCGCCTTCATGCTTTAAACATTCGCGTGTCTCACGAGATCTGAATGGCAACGAATAGTAAAAGTCACAGGGAGCACCCAATTCTCTGTCATTGCCTACCAACCTGGACTTCGCGGATGAAGGAGCACAGAAGCGAGAGCGTTCAAAGCGTTTAATCAGGGTATGGCGTTTAGGGTCCGTTGTATTTAGCATTGCGAGTTGCCGGTAAAGGATTTACAGATGAGGGTTTTACACATCTTCAACGTCTTCTTGATTTGTTGTTGCTAACGCCGCTCCTTGCGTTTCAGGGTATCTCAAGCGTTTGGGCCTGGTGGAAAAAGGGGGGGGGGGGGGAATTGCGTCCATTCATATGGCGACCCTGCCAAAAAAATTAGTATTTACAGCGATTTTGCCAGGATCTCTGAAACAAGATACACCGTCACAAGCGTTCATGCCTTTGGCGAAGATGCCACAACACTGGTATTTGCAGAACTTTTGCCTCTCTGTACACATTCTTGCCTCTTTGTACAACATAAGCACAAGAACGCTGTGCGCAGTGTTTTCGTCCGAAAAAAGCGTTCAAAAAGCAAGCACTTTTTTGGGTGCGATTCGCGCGTGTCGAAAATATCGCTGTGCGCAGTGTTCTATTTTGGAGTCGGACGCAGGAAAACGTGGACAACTCGAGGTGTTTGAGCATTCGCATTCGCGGGACGTGTTATGAGTATGTTCAAAGGCACCACTGCACCCATTACCGCAATGAGCGGCGTTGCCTTTCGTTTAGACCTGGCCTTCAACTTTTCCTTCCTTCAACTTACCATCCTTTGGAGGGATTGTTGGCACGTAGGACGATTGAACTCCGACATGCCCCCAGAATCTCCAAAATCCCCCCACCCTGCACCCCCCCCTTTGCACTGGGAACTCCGCTTGATCTCCACCGCACGACGGCGCTTGAAGTTCTCGGCGCTGCCATCCTTTCACGTCGCCGAGGTCTAGAAAGGCTGGGAAGTTGGCGGTTGGAGTGGTAAGCCTAGTTGGTGCAAGTGCTGCGAACACAATGCTACTTGTGCGGAGCCCCCTGACAAAATTTGCAGAAACTACCTATGGCACTTCGAGTTTGGGGCGCTACCGCTTGGTCCATGCCTTCGGGAACCGTAGGGACCGTAGGAAGGGGCTTAAGAGTGAGGATGATACTGTTGGCATGGACACCCTGAAGCAAAACCTACACCCACACACACCCACACACACACACACAAAAAAAAAAAAAAAAGAAAAAAAACACACACACACACAGCAAAGCGAAGAAACCTGCTGCTGGCCTTTGTGAATCCGACGGGATCCCAGAATCCCAGCGGCGGCTGGGCTCCCAGCTCCTGCGAAGCTTCTCCCACGGTGGGAGATAGCAATGGTGCCCCCTATTCTCCTATTCTGATGCTGCACTGCTGTGCCGCTGAATAATCAGCCATATGGACATAGAAGTTGAAGTATTAAGCTCGGCTTACGCTTGTGTCCATGAGACCATCTGACACTTATGTCCGCACTCTTGTCGATAAAAATCACCGGTCGCCATTTGACTGCCGAAAACAACTCTGATAGTTCGTGGGCGTGCATGAAGACCATCACTGAGTGACTAGTATGCAGGATTGATTCTACCTTCAGCATCTGCGTGCCTGCAGTTACTCCGATTACTCCTTTGGCATGCTTGTCCTCACTTTGTCATTCGCAACAGGGTTTAAGACCAAAAGGGCAACAACAGTGCCTTAAACTCTCTGCACTCACGAGTGCGCTCGCGAGAGGAGTTGTCCTGCTCGAAGGCCCTCAGAGGCGAGTCGGTGTAAAGGGCCCAGTCACCTCGGCCAAGTAGGGGCGTCGCAGGCGCTGACAGGCTATGATCGCAGAACGAAGCGGTTGGGGCCACGCAAAATGCAAAAACATGGGGACGAAACGAGCTTCGGGCATACCCAACCCAAGCTCCGAACCATGCCAAAATCCCAAAGCGCTGGGTTCATGTTACGGTTTAAAGGTCCTCAAAGCTCCCCAGGGTTTGGGTTTCGGGCTTGCAGGGTCTCCTTGCCATCTCAAATTTTTTAAAAGCTATGAAGAGTTCGACGCATCTTCCTGGGCCTTGGGTCAATTGAGGGCGTTGGCAATTTAAGGAGTTTTGGGTTTCGGTGGTTTACTGAATGCGCGCTTTAGAGCTTCAGAGAGTTTTTCGATGTCTGCTCGGAGTTTGAGGCTTCTCAGGCATAAGTGACGTCTGAATACTGCAGAATCATGACAAGATCTAGACGGTGCTCGGCTGGATGCCTGCGTAACTGATATTCACAAAATCGTCAGGATCGTAAACGCCCATCAGGCCCGAATTCTTGGCGGAGCTTCTCCACCGGTCCATGTAACAGACTCAGCTGCTGAGGCTGGAAGAATGAAGGCATCTGGGCTTGATTCCTGAACAGCCTTTGCCCTCAGCCCCTAAGCCCAAAGCCTCAAATGCCCGCAAAAGCTCGGACATCTCTCTGAGCACCAGCTCAGGAGGGCACCCCACGCAGAGCCAGTCAGCCCATCTTGGAAAAGCATTCCTTGGCTGGGGGTTGTAGGATTGAGGCGCGTAGCATGGACATGCAGATCCTACTTCGTGAGAAGACGCTACACCTGCGAGAAGCCACATTTTTCCCGGTCCGACGGGCCCTGCTGCCATGCAGACTGAAGCTCAGCTGCATGGTTTCATCAGCTGCTCAAGTTTTTCTGGGCAAGCGATTAGAAATCTTACCAAAGACAACAAGAGGAATAAGGCACAGGTTGGCACAAGGTTTCAGACTCATGGCTTCGTCTTTGCGACTTTTCGGGCTAAAGGGCACGCAAAGCCGAGTTCTGGATCCTTGAATTTCTTGAACCTCTGAACTTAACACAAATCCACGGTACGCTAGGCATTGCCATCAACCAGGAGCGACTGCGTATCAGCACTTTCTTGAAGCGCCGATGTCTTGACTCTGGGGGCGCGCCAATGTGAAAAAATCGTTGTTGAGAAATGATAAGCCCCATGTCGACATAAATCCAACCTTAACACCTGGAGCCACACATGAAAAGTGTGCCAAGGTGCCCATGATGGCCATCATCGCCAGGCGCCCGTTTGCCAGCTCGGCGGAGAGCTTGCGAGTGCGCGCCTAGTCAGTACAAGGAAATGCCGAAATCCTCGAGCCGAAGGGAAGGCTGTTCTTATGGTTTGGCTTCTGCCGAACACGTGACGTTAAGCTCCGGGAAACCTGCGTGAGCCCTACACACCCATGGAACACACGCAATCGGGATCCTTCCACGCCGAACTCAACCTCCATTCTGCTCGCCAAACCCGCTTTTTCTTCGGGCTTCAGCCCCTCTTGTGACATTGGTGGACAAGTCGCAACCCAAACCTAACATCCTGCATTGTAAGCCCCCATTCTTAGAAGTATCCTCCCCCCCCCCCCCAAAAAAAAAAGAAAGAGATAAGAAAAAGAAAAGTCTGAGAGTCCAGAGCGGACGTCCTGAAAGCCAACCCGGGGCCTCCGGATCGGCCACCGACTTGAGGAAGCCCAGGCCCAGGTTGCCCTTGCCTCGGGCTCTTTGCAGTTCAGCTTGTTGTTTTTTGGGGAGAAGCCAACTCCAAATCGGAAACTGTGTGTCTGAATCCTACACTACAGCATCCCGTGTGTGATGCATGAGTCTGAACCCGTCATAGCTCATGACTCCTATGGAGGTCACTGGAAAGAAGCAGAAAGGCTGCTAGAAAGGCGGCAAACAAAAAACTAGAAAGGAGTATCACTTTAAGCAGCACATCTCTCGATCCCAAGCACCGTAGTTGCCTGGCTCATCGCCAACCTGAGTTTGCAGGTGCACGGGGCAGAGATCCCCAAAGATCATACCGAACTCAGCAGCCCCGTGAGCCTCGTGAGCCTCGTGCATCGATGTCTAAAAACTCTCTGGGACCACCCCCGCCAGGCCTGACCTACTTGGGGGTTTACGAAAATAGGGGACCCCTACAATAGACCCCCATTAAATAGGGAACCCTAATACAGACCCCCAAATCGTAGGATTCCCTTATAACGAGGACCCCAATAAGGTACCCTAATCTCGGAAACCCCCACTTTTGTCAGGAGAGGAGCCGGCTTGTTCACGAAGAGCTCATAGACTCCCAGGAAGGCCACGATCTGAGCCCAACCCTGACCTGCCCCGAGGGACATCGCGAGACTGGTTGGCGTTAGGAAGTTTGGAGACCTTTGATCCGTGACTTAGTGACTTAGGTGGGAATCCGGGAAGGCTAGCCGTGCTAGCGCAGCCGTCGTACGGTTTCGATGCGCTCGGGGGTATGCAGGGGAATAGCATAAACGGACATGATGCGAAAAGCACTGGCCCGACGGACGCTTCGATGGACTCCAACGGTTCGGGCCTTAAAAATTAGGTCTTTGAGGTTCTTTGAGTGTTCCTGAGTGTTTCTGAGGATTGTGGGTGGTTTTTGAGTGTTTCAGGGCCAGGTTTGGCGGCTGGTGTGGTGTTCACCCGGCACGCTCGACAAGTTTAGCCAATGAAGCCAAGCGCTATATCTGCAACAAAGGCCTGAAGTCCAAAGACTCACAAACCCCAAAAACCGTAATCCCTCAACATCTCGTCAGCTGCGAAGTGGTCATGGGCCGGTCAGGGAGTACACAGACGCGGATAGCCATGGTGACCCCATAAAAACTCGGACTCCGCCCCTAAGCCCTAAACCCCTAAACCCTGAACCCTGAACCCTCCGGTGTCGCATCAAAGTCCACGCAGGGTTCCCGGCGCCTGGCACCTTCGTGAGTGCGGCGAGGCCATTGGGGATGTCGGTGAACTTGAGGCCCAGCTTGGGGGAGAGCTCCTCGGCTGCTTTTTTTGTTGTTTGCTTGTCTTTGTTTCTTGGCGCCTGAAGTTTCGTGAGAAGAGCCTCGGAAGCCGAAGCCGAGATGACTATGTGGGAGGCTTCGGAACTTTCGGAAGTTCAAAGCCCAGGAATGCAGACACACTTCTTGGGCTTCAGGGGATACATGACATGACTTCGGCGAGCTTCTCCCGGCCAGCGGAAGTACTCCGGCACAATGTAACCTCAGCACACCACATAGAGTTCGGCGCAAGATCCTCAAAAAACACCTTGAACCCTAATTCTGGGCCTGGTATTCACATCGAGTTCACGTATCACCCGCAACCCCAATCCAAAGGTTCGAATAAAACTGCCTAAATCCCAACTCTTCGCTCGCCGCTAGCTGAAACAGGCTGCCTGCTCGCTTCCCGATTTCACAGCCTGCTGCACAAAATGGCCCAACATTGCCCAGCAATGGCACGGGCCATACCGCCACAACCGTAGACACTCGCAGAATCGACCGACATCCGGACACATCTGGACCCTGGCATGCTCGGCAAGGCACCCATCGCTGCATACATGGAGATGCCTTGAGATGCTGGGCAGGTTGCGAGCTTCCCATGGAAGCTGGGGAATTTGGGGTTTTGGGGGTTCAGAGAATGCGGGGCTTAGGGGAATCTGAAGGGCAAGATGGGTGGATCCCCTACAGTAGCTAGGACCATGCTTCCAAGACCTAGCACAAGCCCTTAACCTCCCATGCAACAACGGCTTGTGGCCATGCGGCGTCCATGCTTCAGCTCCACCTCACGACCTGGCAAAGAGGAGAGCACAAGCGTTTTGCTTCGGCACTTTGGTACCAAAGCTTAGGTTTACGACATTCGGGTTCGTTATTGGGGTCCGTATGATCAGGGAATCCTACAATTTGGGGGTCTATACTAGAGGTCCCTGGCACGACAACAAAGCAAGCAAAATAACACACATTCAACTTGAAACTTCTGTCCTTCAACCTCCACCTTCCACCTGTCGGAGTCCAGGGAGTACTGTAGGGTTTGAACATGGGTTTGGCATCTCCCTGCGGCAGATGTCCCAGCACTTGCCTGAAACTGCTGGTGACAGGGTTTTAACATGTGAAGCCCAACCGCAAGCACTACAAAAAAGCAGGCCTTCAACAAGACGATGCGCAAGATCTTTCGCCCACTTTATCGCCCCCAACGTCTCCCGAAACCCTCGGATGCCAAGGGGCGTCGCTTGAAGACCTCGGTGTCGCCGTCCGCGGAGAGACCAAGAGGATCCTTTCGGGTGCTGCAGATGCCAAAAGTGGGAGCTTGGGGCTCTTGTACTTGAGGGCTTTGTTTGGGGGGGGGCAGCTTGAGCTCCATAGTTTGGGCTAGCTTAGAGCTATGGGGGGGGTGGTTTTTCGTGTGGGCTTCATGTCAGATTGAAATTGGGTCGGGTCGAGGAAAGATCGTAGCGTTCTCGACTTCCTGGCACTTACAACCCCACGCGCCTTCATCCTGGGAATACTAAATCTTGACTTCGAAACAAACTCACACTGTAGGTCACCCCTACACCCTACACTTTCCCCTGGACGCCCATGCAAAACACCTTATAGAAGTGCAACCGCGAGGCCCAGAAGCCCACGGGCGCCTGAACACCAAGCTCACCTCGACAGAGGGCACTCTTTAACTCTTCAAGAATGAGAGGCCTACCCGGGTTCTTCCCAGTGTTCGGCTTCTGCGTGGAGTGCTTGAAGACTCTTCTTCTCGGCCAATTTAAGCCGACCCTAGCGTGACGCAAGCTCTGAGACAAAGCCGCGTCTGGGCAGTTGGGGGTTCCTGGAAAATTTGTGGGCCAACGTTTTCAAGTCTCGGAGGGCGGTCCCCTGGCCAGGCTGCCTAACTAGGCACAATCCCTAAAGTCTTGCATTTGCTAGGGGCTGCACATACAAAAGCCGGATTCATCCATTGGGGGCTCTCTTCTTCAAGGATTGGGAGTGCTGCTAGTGCTGGTCGGGGCTCCCGTCTTCCCATCGCCTTTTCAGGCCACCACAAACCCAAATCAGGGTTTCCGAACAGGGGGGGGAGGTTCTATTCTATTTGGGGTATAAAACGGAGTGCTGACATCGCCGGCAACTGAAAAGCCCTCCACAAAGTCGACCCTTCGTCCCTTGCACCCAGAATGCTTTTTCACACCCGGAAACCCTCGAAGGCTCGGAGAGGCGAGGCAGTGTACAGCGACCAGTCACCTCGACGTGTTGTTTTGGGCTCAAGGGCTGCGGCCTCTGATGCCGGGTATGAATCTGGAGGTGGTAGAATACGAAAACTTTTGGGGTTTAAGGCTAAGCGCTTCCCATGCAGGAGAGCTTGCGGTTGCGAGCCAAGTGAGCAAACGAAGCACGGCACACGAGCCAAATGTTGAATGCGATCCAAAGCGACACCGGGCGAGCCTAAATCAAATCTCCGCCGTAACCACCCACCCCAACCACACCACAGCAGAGTAAGTGATCCTTAAAAACCTGACCAGGACTGCAATCCTTAAAAGCAGCCTGACCACATTGCCAAAAAACCTGGCAGCCCCTTTTAATAAGTTTGGTGTTCTTCGACAAGACTTGGAGTCCGAAGTCCGCTGCCGCGCGGCCCCAAGCGGAGCCGGTGAGCCCGTCCTTCAGGGTTCATTGTTCTAAGGGGTTTGTGGCCAGTCCACCCGGCAACTTTTGTGTGGGAGTGTGTGGGAGTGTGCGTGTGTGTGTGTGTGTGTGTGTGTGTGTGTGCGTTTGAACAATCGCTGTACATGTGGCTTCCCCAATTATGAAATCAATTTTGCATTTGGATAACCATTAAAACATGTTTTCAAATAACCCGTCTGCTTTTTGGAATTCTTGCAACAGCTCAAGCATCTGAGTTTGCCGGAAGTGTCCACATCCTGCTTTCGAAGCGTTGGCCATGCAAGCGGCTGCTGGTGCAGGATTCCGCATTGCATTCGACGCCAACAAACAAACATACATAGACAGAGGCGTACAGATGTGTGGTTCGAACGCTGAAACCGTTTTGCCCAGCCTTGAGTTGTTCTGTTGCGAACAACTTGTTGGAAAGGCTCAAGCCTCGAGTTGCCAAAACAAGATTTTTTTAAAGGTTCAAGTGACATGTGTTTTCGTTTAAACTTTTGAGCAAAGAATCCTTGAAGCTTGTAAACTGCCTGGTGAAGATCATGATATTCGGAAACTCACTCACAAACCTAAAGAATCCAAGGCCCAAGCTTTTTCGGGAGATGCTTTGGTGAAGTTTGGATTTTTCTTCTATACAAATTAGTTGGTGCACGCGCCAGGTTTTTTTTTTAAGCAAGTCGTTCTGTTTTAAGAGAAATAGTGCATTCCCAAACAAAAAATTGATCAAACATGCGATTGAGCGAGAATGAATCACATATTGCATTCTTTTAGTTTTCAAAAACCCTCAAGACGTGGCGGTCTCATTGTACCGCTGAACCAAGATTGTTATCTGAGCTTGCTCACCACGATATGCTGCGCCAGACCTGCTCACAAGCTCATGTGCTGCATAAGAGCTGCTCCACAGGAATGTTCACTCTCGCATCTGCATCTGTGCTGAACAGGAGCTGATGTACATGTGGGTTTTGCTGCACGTGAATGCTGCACTTGCACCTCACATCAGGCCTGCTTGCTGCTGCACATGCTGAATCCATCCATGACCACACTACAAAATCAAGCTACTATGCTCTTTCGCGCAGTGAGCAACATGCTTCACGTTGACACCCTGTTTCTTTTCATCATGGTTTGTGGCTCTGTCAGGATTGTGTTTGGTCAATTAGTTCATGTTCATGCATCAGTCGGCAATATTGTCAAGTAACAATAATATTACATTAAATACAACTATGATGAATGGTTCATCTAATATACTTTAAATCTTCTGAAGTTGCAACTCTCCAGATATTAAAACCCAGATCTATCTGCTACTATTGCACCCATATAATCTGCTTCATTTTCATTCATTTTTGAATATGGTAAATTTATAAAATGATCCAATCCTTGAAAGCTAAACCATTCAGTCAAACCAAATGCATAACCACTCGGAGATAATCAGAAAAAACAAAGTTTTCAATTAACAAATTGGGCTCTCTTATACCCCGAAAAATATTTATTGAATTTTTACTTCTAATACGACGAGACCACCATACATTATTTACATTTCTTTTTATCTAAATCCATATTATTTTCATTGGCTCTTGATTCTTCAACAATTTTATTAACTTTTTTCACTGTCACTCATATTCATATCATCATCTTCATTCATTAAAACTGTCATGTCAGTTTTCTTTTCTTCTTTCTATACTTTCATTCAGTTTACTTCTGCCTTTTGTGAAACACCTAACAATCCAGATTCAGAAATCTGGAGGTAAACGCTTATGAACTGTATCTTTACACATTCTCTCACTGATATTCGTACATTTGAATCATTCGGGGTCAAGATTTCGACTGTTAAAGCCCAAGCATGGACCCGTACAAGTTGCACGCTGCTTTCCTGTCACCCGTCGCCGGGCGAGGCTCGCACTGGGCAAAGCTGGCAATGACGAAGCTGGACGTCATAGCACTGGTGTAGTAGGACGAGAAGCAGCTTGATCCCGACGAAGAGCTTGCGCTTTCCGTTCTGCTACTGTCAATGCCGACCAAGAGGGAACATGATCTCTTGTGGCACGCAACGAGCACAACTTGTTGCAACCCTCCAAGCCACTTGTAACGACCATTGGGTTGCATGAGGGCCCCTACTTCCTCTTTGGCGCGGTCTGCAGCTGCGCGCCTACGTCCTTCACGGGCAGTATCCGAGCGACGAGCCAGTGACCGGAGTTCCTGAAACCCAACAAACCACGTGGCAAACTACGCCGATCGGGTCTCGAACACACAAGCTTCGGTCGACCTGATGGGTTTGTTATCAGAGCTCCCGTTTAGACGGTTATCCACTGTCTGGTTTTCATCGAGCGGTTTACACAGGAACTCATGGCCTGTTCATACTACTTCCTCCAGACCAGGCGTTTACAGGGTCTCAAGGTGTGACAGGGAGAGAGCGGTTAACCTTTACTTTTCCTTGCGTACACCACCAATCTCATGACACCTTAAGTGCCCAAGAGTCCGGACCCTTGAGACGTGTGTTCACCTTGTTCACTCGCTCATTCGCTCCTATAATGCTAGTCGCGCGCGCGCGCCCCCCCAATGAAATCATGGTTTCAAGTTGGAAGAAGGCCCCTCCGGCGAAATCATGCATTCAGGTTGGGCCCAAGAAGGGCCCTCCGGCGAGATCACGCATCGTGCAGTCTGGCGGGCAAGAACAGGCAGGATACTGCTCCTGAGTGCCATTTTGTCAACCACAAGGTCACTGGGCTCAACTGCTCACAAACATGCGCCCTCTTCAAGGAGCCACAAATGCACTCAGCTGGCTTTGGTCTTTGTGGCCTCCTAGTCGGCGGCGCCCTCCGACCGAATCCGCGCCCACAATGAGTTGCTGACGCGCCACTTTGCCTGCGCTTGCGCGCGGGTTGGCCATCGGCCATGCTTGCGGAAATGCTGCTGCATCTTGGCCTCTTTAGCAGAAATTGCGCTGGCAGATGAGGAATTTCCAGCTTTCTTCCGGCCGCCCTTGCTAGCAATGGTTGCCCGCATTTTGTGGAGAGCGATCCTGCTGATGTTGGTAGCGCCTCGACCTCGGGGACCCAGCAATCGTTTCTGTGCCTTGGGGAGATTGGCCTTGGCCTTGCTCTTCACCTTCTCGCTTCCCCCTGAGGAACACAGTAGCTTCCAAGCATTGTTATAGCCTCTTTGTCCACCAGACTTGCTCACAAGCTGCAAGGTTCAGGCCAATGACTTGGATTGCTCTATGAATGCCGGCGACGCATAAAAGAAACGATCTGCCGCCGGCAGAGCCGCGCCCACGCGCCAAAGATCACGGCCAAAATCATGCACGGAAAGCCTCGCCAGCAGGAAACATGGAACAACAAGATCCTAGATCACTATGCCACCACATAGGTGTCAGAACTGAACATGGGCGTCATTGGACCATGCGATTTGTGGGCGGAGCATTCTCCTCTGGCTGGGCGAAGCACCCGGCTCAAGTAGCGATTGATGGCAACGGCTGCCGATCAGCGCAACCTGACCAGGGAAACAGAGACAAGGACTTGCCCCTTTGCTCCACAGAGGTTGGGGTGCTCCTAGACCGCCCAGCAAACCTAAGGACATGTGGATCCATCGCCCTCATCCCTGCACAGGCTAAGCGCCCCAGACCCCTGCCTCGGTTGACTATTGCACTAAGTCCGTGGCACGACTTGCAGCGTCCGTGGGAGCCGACCCTGCGCCTGACGGAAAACAACTCTGCCTGTTTTAGCCAACGCTCCAAAGCCCGCTGCGATGAAAACACAAACCTCTGAGTCTGAAGGTCAGGACTTGAGTGTGTCCCCACAGATGGAAGTACTTACAAAGGGTTTGGGGTGTTTCAACAATTTAGCGCACAGAGGGATTGTTGAGGGATGGTCGGGGTGAGCATAGGGCGATGCTCAATGTAGTAAAGACAGTCGGAAATCCTTAAGCGTTGGGACCGCTGGGCCTGCTTGTTGCATTTTTGGTCTCGTTCCCTGAAGTCAAAACAGTAAGCAGACCCTGGGCAGTTTGAAACAAGAAGCCCAGGAAGCTGTTGCAGCACATGCCATGCTGGAACTCGGGGCGCTGAAGGATAAGCCTTTTCAATCTCCAGAAAGACACACGCCAGGGCCAGAGCATCGTATTCTGTTGGAGGGAGACCATCCAGGTCCATCAATACTCGGAGTGTGAAGACGACATCCAACGTACAGCGTTGTGGACGACATCCAACGCACAGCGTTGTGGCCTGAAGCCCCACTTTGCTTCATGCAACGAGAAGGCCGAACTTGTGGTGCAGCTCACGGCGCTTTGTAGCTAAGTGAGCTTGGACGATTGACCATCTGGCCTGTTCTCCGGACAGGGCTGAAGTTGAGGACGCTCTGGCCAATGTGCGAACATCCGCTCCCGGCTATGATGAAGTCACGATTCTCATGCTTCGGCTCTCTGGCGAATTGGGCAATCAAATTCTCACAAACCTCATGCAGGAGATTTTGCTTGTGGCAGGACAAGCCATGGCGGGTAGAATCAAAGTGATCCAACGCCGCTTGTGGAGTAAACGGCTCGCGCCCTTCTTTGCTGCGACTTTCTGCGTATATGCCAAGTTTGGGCAAGGCATATTGTAAAACTGTTTGGCTAGTTCCAGTGTATGCACAATGTCCAAGACCCACCCATTCATTGCCTGGTACAGGCACTATGGGTCTTGAAAAGCACACTATTTGACTAGAACAAGCGCAATTTACCGAGATAAACTTAATGCCACCTTCATATCGCCTCTGGAGGTTCAACTTAAAAATTGCTCCAATGTTGGCTGATTGGCCTGTGAGAATAGCTGAATAGCTGTCCTTCATTACCCGGTGCTCGGCTCTGAGATAGCAAACCCGGACATGAATTCAAGGCTTGCTTGTGTGTTCCATGAACAAAAATCATCTCCGACTTCTCCGTCCTACCGTCCATATTAACACAACACTTTCGAATCAAAAAACGGTCGGTCGCTGCGGTGACCTGCCCTTTTACCCTTATTTCAGACCCAGCTATAATCGTAAACTTGGGCATGCAAAATGTGCTTTAACTAGAAAACTGAACTAAACAAAAACCAAAATCGGAAAAAACACACACGCAAAAACATCAGGAACTCTTTGAAGTGCAGCCATTATATCGACAAGATGCTGAAAATGGTTGTTTTTGGCTCCTTCGGCTTTAGTTCTTTGTGCGTTTCGGCTTTGGTTCTTTGGCATGGCTTCGGTTTCTTGGCTTTGGTAAAATAACTCCGCTGTGTTCTTAGAAACCTCCAACACGCAGCGGACTCAAATTCCCCGGCTGGACCAAAATCATTACGTACACCGATTTGATAAAGTCTTCGCGAGCTCCTGGACTCCAACAAAACGAATGCCCGTAACGTTTGAGGGCCTGGAAGAACATGCCGATGATGGCCATCATGGCCAGGCGTCCGTTGGCCAACCTTTCAAGTCCAGGGCCCACAGGGAAGAACCGGACCCGAAGAAACGCGTCAAGTGCTGACAAAGTGTAGATGTGGGTCCTGGTTTTGCCTGTGAGCCTTGGGAAGAAAATGAAACTTGGAGTTAGGGTCTAAGGCAATTCCGGGTTCCGGTTCTCAACAGACCACAAGTACCTAGGCAGCACCGTAGCCCTGAAAATCCCCACCGGAATGCCAACAAGATCCAGTGACGCCAGCGCCTTCCTAATCATGAACCGAGAAGCTCCGCGTTCAGCTTCTTCTTTCGCACCTCCGGGTCCTGAAACATGGGAGCGTTCCATCGCAGCGAAACAGAGAGCGAGAGCTTCAGGGAATTTCGGTTTGCGTCTACGTCCAGGGATTTGGGCTTCCGGGATTATCCTAGAACCAGGCTTGGCATGCGGAAGATAACTTGCTTCAAAAGGCAGCGCCGGGAAGCCTGCGCCCATTCACCCATCGAACACGGCAGAGACCAACAAGGGGACATGTCACAAACATAGAGTGCAGAATGAATGCATTTTGAAGCCAGGCGACTGTACTTCCTAGACCTGTCAGCCACCACGAAAACCTATTTACGGGGATTAAAGGGGATTGAGAGTTCCAAGTGTGCACAGGTCTCTGAGGTTCAAGGATGGAGGGCTCTGGGCAAACCGAGATCGCAGGAGGGTGTGGTCTTGGTGTAGAGAACGGGCTGGGCTGCGTGTCTGTGTCTCCTGGATGCCAGTGCTCATGACGCCAATGGACCTGCAAAGCTGCGTTCAGGGCAGTTGAGCCATAACTTTCATGAAGACCACGCTTCCTGCCCCAAATCCCTTCAGGGTGACTGCCTAAAACCGAAGCGCCCAAGTCAACAGCTTTGTCAAGCCCCAAAACCGGCAAGCCCGAATGAGGAAAGGCCCACGGCCTTTCGGCGCTTGGTGTGGCAAGGGGTTTAGCTGGGGCCATGACACAGTCACGGCCAAGGCATCTGCGACAAGCTGAGACGAGTCTAGCCACAACACACTCGCGGACTAAACCCTAACCCTGAACCCTAAACCCTGAACCCTAAACGCTAAACCCTAAACCCTAAACCCCAAACCCTAAAACCCTAAACCCTAAACCCTAAACCCTAAACCCCAAACCCTAAACCCTAAAACCCTAAACGCACGCATTCGTCCTGGCCTCAAGCCGAGGAAGCCTGCGCCGTAGTTGCCCGGCTCATCACCGATTTGCTCGTTGTAGACCTTGAAAGCCAGTGCTGTTTTTGGGGCGCCTTCCGTGCTACCTGTATCTTAGTCGGAGCATAATGGCACGATAACTACCCACAACCTTCAAAGATCAGGGGCACTTCGAGCTGCTGGAAGGAGATTTGGAGTTGAGCAGTTGAGAGAGCTCAGGGCTACCCATCCTGCTGGGTACCCATCTCGATAAACGGAGCCTGTACCCCAAGCCAAAACTACCTTTCAAAGCCGGTCGTGTTAGCCACTTTATTGCGAGATGTTTGCCCTTCATTGCTTTTTGCGCGATCTAGGGACAAGCTGCCCTAGCTCCAGAAATTTCCAGGCGCCCCGCGTTGACCTCCACGATGCCGGCAAAGCCCACAATCTGCAGCCAGCCGAAGGTAGGGACCTGGTGCACAGGAGCGATGAAGCTTTAAGGATGCGCCCAGTCGGCAATCGTTGCACCAACACCCACGCACATCCAAGGCGCCCTCGGCCCACAAGCGTCCACGAGTGCCCGCTCGTGTCGGTGTCGCCGCTGTCACATGGATCGAGAATGTTTTCAAAGTGTCGACAGACGTGGGGATCGGCTGTGTCAGGGTCGCGATCCTGGTAACTGTTGTCCTTACAAGGATCTGGCAGCTGTCGTCGTTTTTGGATCCTGATCCTTCGTGCGTCAAGAGGGCTGAGAGTCGCCGTCGCGATCCGCGGAACTGTCGTCGGGTTTCGGACTTGTCTTGCATGTCAACAGTGCTCACAATCGCAGGGGTGCGACCCGGCCATCAAATGTCGAAAGCCTCAGAAGATGTCAAAAGTCATACGGGCTCCTGGTGTGGCGTCCTCATGTCCTTGTTGCTGCCGTGTCCTCGTGCTATTGCGCCGTGTCCGTGTCGTGTCTTCGTGTCATGCCTCCGGTCGTGTCTTCGTGTTCGTGTCGTGTTCGTCCGGTCGTGCTTCGTGTTCCTGAAGCTTAGGTCTTGGAACCTTGCCTTGAACTTCTCAAGGGGCTTTGGCAGCAAACAGAGGATCAGGTAGCAACTAGAAGAACTGACTCCAAGAGGATAAACAGGGAAGCTGGCCTTTCAATCGCTTGGTTTTGAACGTTGTATGAACTTGTGCGCGTCGCATGCGATGGTTCTGGAAACGAAGCCCTTCAAGCGTGGCACAATCGCTTTCCGCAATGGAGCTCCTGCGAGTGTGCAGCTTCCTTCCTCAACATCTGCAAGGTAGAGATGCTAATGGCAAACTCATCAACCTCCCTGCAGTGCCGGGCCATCATGAGCCGGATCATCATTGTCATCACCATCACCAGCAATATCATCAGAGCTGGTTTGTACATATGTGGAAAACGTACAGGACGAGTGTGACAATCCCTGCGCCAACCAGGCCGACAAGCTCGATTGACGAAGCTACCAAGAAAGTTGCCGCTTAGAAATAAAGTGATCGACAACACTTGTCAGGATGGCGACTGCGACATGCCGGCTGCGTGCGACTTTCGACGCTTCTCAAATTACGATGAAAGTGCCAAGGGGGTGTAAAAAAGAGACGAGACAACGTCTCGAGGATGGCGACTACAGCACTCCACGTCCACTGTCTCGGTTGCCACGTTCGAGGGTAGCGCCAAAGCCATGTTCGAGGCTTTGCCGCGCTCGGAAAAAGCATCGTGAACAAGGAACCAGCGATGACTAAGATGCACACAGAGGGACCAACCCCTTACGCTTCGTGATTTTTGTTCATGCCGTAAAGACTATAAATTGCCTATAAAGCCTTGTTGCCAAAGAGCTCCAATGTTCATTCCTAAAGCGCCAGACATTGAAAACGAATAGAACTCATGACTCCCAGGCCTTGGAGAAGGCGCTGAGTCCGTTGGGCACATCCGCAAACTTGATGTCCAAGTACTTGGAGAGGTATCCCGGAAACCTGGCAGGATGCTAGAGTTTTGGTTCGATTGGACAGTGTGCATTCCGCACACGTTTTCCCCCTAAGCCGGCAGTTACAACCCTCCGCGGAACCAGGTATTCTGATCGCCGACAGCTTCAAGGCCCACACTGCCCCTGTCATGCAACTTTCGCAACTCGTGAGGATGATGGGGCTCAGAGGCTCAGGAACCTGAGCTTCACAGCCCTGGGGTTGATCCTGGGGCTGGCCCTGGGGTTCCCATGCTTCGGCGTGCCCGAAAAGGGATCAAAGGCTCAGAGAGCTCAGAGAACCAGAACTCCCTCACATGGCCTCCAGTACTCAGGCAGGATGTAGCCCATAGTGGCGAACATGGCAACCTCCAGACTTCAGCTTGGGGCTTGCTTTTAATTTTGGAGGCCGTTGGGGATTCAAGGGTGGTGGGACTTCTGCATGGTATAGGGGCTGAGACTGCTGCTGATGGCTTAGGATTATTCAGGGATTGTGACCAAGCAATTCAGGTCCGGAGAGTCTGGGGGATTGAGAGTTCAGGCTTTCAGGCCCGGAAGCAAGGGCACTTTCTTGGGGAACGCCACCGAAGCTGCAGCGGCTTCGTGCTGCTTAGGGACGCGTCCGTGCTTGAGCTCGACCTCGCGTCGGCGCTTGAAGTCCTCGAGCATTGCGGCGTTTGTGGCTCCATCAGGTTGCCCGAGTTATGACAGTTGCATGCATGAAACAACGGACTTCGTCGAAGATTCCATCCCGAAGCAAGAGAATCTCAAGGCTGCAGCACATTGCTCAAGGGCAGTGCTGCAGAGACATTTGGCCTGTGCACCCTGTGCCATCCTCTAAAGGCGCAGCCCCATATGCAGACGAACACTCACCCCTAAGCCGCTAAGATTCAGGCTCCATAGGGTTCCGAGGCTGGGCGCTTCTTCGTGTTCTAACTTTGGCATAGAGAAAACACAAGCAAAGCGCAGGAGTCTGTTGAACATAGCGGCCCGATGCACTCGGAATGAGAGGCAGAGCAAGTGCGTGCGCATTCAGCACGGCACTCTTGCGACAATGTGCCATTATACGTGCACATCTCAAATCTCAAGAGCGTAACCGGTTGTACCTTTAACCAAGCCCCACAGACTTTTGAAAGCCGTGGGATCCGGGGTGTCCGCAGTGTTCAGGGCCTATAGGGCTTAGGGTTTCGAGTTTCAAACCTTCATATCCAACGGCCAAATCCGCGAAAACACTTTCCGCCGAGTGGCCGAGACGTTGCCACTGGTCGACAAACCCAACGGGTCCCAAAAGCCAACAGGAGGCTGGACCTGGATAGTCTCAATACTTTGAGACTCGAAAAGTTGTTCACCCTCGTTCTTGTCATGTTCCGAAAATTTAGTGTGTTTGGGGTTGCTTGCTTGCGGATTGCATTCTCGTACATGACTGAGGGTTCCACACCAATCATGAAAGCGAGTGGCAACGTCTGTGCGGACAGAAACCCTTCAACCTCCGACATCATCCTTGCAACACGAAAACACAAATCTTCACATCTGAACATAACCAGCTGGTCGCTAATCCCTACGAAATCTTACGTCTGAAGACTTTAAACCTGAATGCTAAGTCTTGAACCTCAACTACCAGGAAGACCTAAAAACCATTGAACCTTCGAAGCCCCGAAAGCTCCGTGGCTCTGCCGCCAGGTCGCCCCGGTCTCCTCTTCGAAGGCCCTCAGCGGGGAGTCGGTGTAGTTGGCCCAGTCGCCCCAGGCGGAGCCCGTGAGGCCATCCTCACAAGCTGGGCCGCAGTGGAAGTCGGGTTTTTTGCAGCTCTACGTTGGTGCGATCCCATCCGAAGATTGCGAATTTGTGGCTGGGAGCTTGGGGATTGTGGCTGTGTTCTTCTCACCACACATGGAATCAGGGCTCTCAACTTACCATAGCTGGCAGCCTCCAGCTTTCAATAAGTCTCGGAAGGTGCACTCAAAGGCTACGGCTCAGGGAGTGTGTCAGGGCTTGCAAGTTCAAGGTTTGAGGCCCTCGTTATTCGCAAGAGTTGTGAGAACAGTAACAAATGCCCAGACACCTGGAAGAACATACCGATGATGGCCATCATGGCAAGGCGGCCGTTCGCCAACCTCAAAGGGGCGAAGGGCAAACTGGCTACGGTTTCGAGCTCAGGGGCCCTGTGGAGTGAAAACATTCAAGTCAAACTACAAGCGAAATTGCGCGGTACTAACTTGGTTCTTCAGAAACAGGGGTAGATTCGCATGCCCAAGACGACAGTCTTCTAGGTGTTCTGAGACAGCTTGAGCTTTCCATCCCGGTTCGTGTTCTCGAGTCATGTTCACGGCAGCGGGTTCGACATGGTTCGAGACGAGCGAGAAACCATGAGACGCCCACAATGGGACGCCCATGGGACGCTAGGCTGTGAGGCATGAGGCCCGCCAACGGTGGGTTGCCTTTTGAGCACGCAATGAAGGATGGCAGAAACTTGAGAATGTAGTTCTTGCTAGACCATTGTGGAGTGCTCTTGGGGATTATTTTGGAGTGGCCTGTCTGTCATGGTTGCTGTCCTGCCCTGCTCGGCCATGCGTCGCAACAAGCACGCTTGTTGAATAGGCAACCTTGAACCCCCACAATTGACGTGCTATCGTTGCAGCTGCGAAACTCAGCGTTCAACTTCTTCTTGCGGGCCTCCGGGTCCTGGAATGCACACGAGTCCGGGCGCTCAGACTTGCACGCCCAAAGCGTTGTTCTGCAACTTTTCCGAAGTGCAAGCTCAAACGGCTGGAAGGAGGCGTTGCTTTGTGTAGAAGAGTCAAGCTGTAAACAAGCAGCAAACAATCGAGAACCGTAGTGTGTGGGCTTTCGGGTCGGTCTGAACATGAAGGGTCTCGGGAAATAGGAAGGGTAAAGGACTGCTTAGAGGGCGCAACACTTGGGTTCTAGCCTGAACCAGAAAACTGCATCGTTTGGGGTTTCGGCTTTTGTGCGCAAGTATGCTCTCCCACGCTTCCAAAGTTGGGGAGGCGACACGGACATATAACGGCCGGCACTCCACACATGACAAAAATCGAATCCCGAACCAAGCAGATCCTGGATGCCGGTGCTCATGACACCAATCGACCTTGCCGCACCCGCGGCGCTTAGCAGATTCAAGCTTGGGGTCTAAAGTCCAGAGCTTGGGTGGGTAGTTGGCGACCGTGTAATCGCGGTCGTTTGCCGTGAAAAGCTGGGCGTCAAAGCGTGTTGTTGAGGTGCATGTCTAGAGGTTTCGCCAGTGACGAACCAACCACACAGCGACTCACGATTGATCAGGACGCCTTCACTCCTCTGCCACTCCATCCGTTCACATCGGTGGTGTCTCCCCATCCGGTGTACCGTGCCCGAAACATGTTTGTCCATCTTCAGAGTGGGAGTGGACTTACAAGCGGAGTGCCTGAACCTTCAAGTCCTGGCAAGCTCTAACACGTCCGGAGTCCGAAGCGAGGAAAGATGCCAGAGGAAGCTAAACAGCTCGTAAAGTCAGTGAGTCAGAACTCAGCACGTCACTACTCCTTAGGATCCTGTCCCCCCGTTTGCTGGCCCCCTGTGAATGCTTTGCACCGCCTCAGATCCTGCCCGTTACCCCCACGTTGCGCCTCAAACCCAGGAAGCCAGCGCCGTAGTTGCCAGGCTCACCGCCGATTTGTTCGTTGTAGACCTCGGGGGACGCGGCCGAGGAGAATAGCAGGGGCGCAGCTGAGCCAGGTTAGATGCCCACATATGGCATCCTGGGCCCGGAATGCGAAATCTCCACAATCTCAACTCCTGAACCGCGATCACTGTAGAAATTTAAGCGTTCTTAGAATTCTCGGCGTCCGGCGTTCACCTCCACGATCCCGGCAAAGCCCACGATCTGAAGCCAGCCGAAGGTCGGGACCTACAAAACAACTCGGAGAGAGACGTTTCAACTTCAACAAAAAGACGGTTGTCTGGAGAGAGAGAAAAAAATGAAAATAAAACAAATAGAACGAGCCAGAAGATCCGAAGGGCTGGGCACCTACTGCAAAAACCAGGGAAGGGAAAAGCCTTCAACGCGTAGCACAGCGTTGAAGATGAAGGGAAAAGAGCTGCCAAATACGGCTGCCAAGCACAGCGGCGATTTGGTCAACTCTTCTGGCAACTTGGATCGATGACTTTATCCCACCTGTCAAGTGCCGTGTCCAATTGTGCTTGTATAGCACTGGCACTCGTGTGTTTCTCTGAGCTGTTTATCTTATACCCTGTTTCAGTGGCCTCCTGCCTGAGCCAGGTCATTCACAGCGGGTCTTCAAAGACAAGCCAAGTGCTGCTTCTGAGGGCGCTAGCATGTCTAAAAAAAAATCCATTTAGCACACCCCAGCACGCTACGGAGGCAAAGACGAAATGTTCAAAAGGCCCCGGCCAAGATGCGCTTAGTTGAGCATTCGAGTGCTTTCTAGCTGTGGCGGAGTGTGGCGTCGTATGACCCCGCTGAAAACCAGCCACCGCAAAGCAGGGAGTTGTGGATTCATTGCTGAAGATGGGGGGACGATCTCCACCTCACCAGGCCCACGGAACAAAAGCGGAGTCTGAACCAATACACACAAACCGAAGCAATCCTCCACACCACACAACGTTTCACCCAAAGACGAAAAAAATAATAAAACAAAACATAACATAACACAACCTAACAAACAAAACAAAATAAAATAGAATAAAATAAACTCAGTGCCTGTGCAAGAATCAAGGCTAGCCTGAACCCCTCCGTGGCCTTGGAGAAGGCTGCGAGGCCGTTTGGCATGTCGGCAAACTTGATATCCAGGTACTTGGAGAGGTACCCAGGGAACCTGGCGACATGCGCAGGGTAGTAGGGACTACTATTACTGGGGCTCATGGTTTGGGCTCCCGCCCCCTTTGCACCTCCAGTACTCGGGCAGGATGTAGCCAATAGTTGCAAACATGGACACCTCAGTACGCATGAGTTCTGCGGGCCCTGGACATCTCAAGGCAGCCCCAGCACGACTCCAAAGCCCCTTCAGCCAGCTAGATGTGCGCACAGAAACCCAGACCATCGTACAGCCCAAGCCCTATCGCCATGTTTCCCCTCCAATATTGTCACGGACAGGCCCCGATGCTCCAAACCCAAACATCCATGCCTATAGCAGCTCAGGATTCCGGGTTTGTGCCTTTCAGCCGAGGAAGTACTTTCCCGACAACGGCCCCACAACCTTACAACCCTCAAGGCCCTATCTGAACCCGGTGAATATGGCCCCTGCGAGGCGCTTTGGCCTCTAAACGGCAACAAGCACACCACAGACAAGTGCACCGAGGGCTTTGCACAGGCTGTTGATACTGCCAGCCTTTACTGCTGATTGAAGCAAAAGCAGGGCTTCAGGGGGGGTCCTCCGGCAAGCTCACAGGTCCCGCAAGCTGGGTTAGGCTGCGGGTTCAAGGTTTCGGGTTGGCGGGTTGGCTGCTCTCCGGTGTCTTGTTTCCTCCACCAGCATCTGCAGCCCCATGCGGATTTGAAACTCCGAGGTGCACCGCTTGGACCGCCGACGTGCACGTGCCGTGGGTAAGGGTGGCCCGGCTGCCGAGAGAGGCAGCGCATGCAGGCATTATGTTCAATCCGCACCCTGGACTGAGGGGTATGGGGAGAACCGTCCATGGCAAAAAACCCCTACACAATCGGCCAGGATGCACGTCCGTGCTTCAGCTCCACCTCGCGGCGGCGGTTGAAGTCCTTGGCTGTCCACATGGTTCGGGGTGGGGGTGGATTCTGGGAGTTCGGACTATGATTTACAGACGGCGAATATTGCAGGTCTAGGGCTTGGGGACTTGTGGACCCATGTTCGCTTGGGCAGTCTCTCGCTTCAGGGCTTGCACCCTGCACCGATCAGAAAGCCACTCAGCACATCACTCCCGAACTCTGGACCCCGAAGAGAAGAAAATCCTACGTGCATGAGGCTTTAGAAAAGCGGCATAACTAAAGTCCAGACCATTTACTAGAAGCCGGCGCACAAGCCCCAAAGAAACGTCAAGGCACCGAGAGATTGCCGCTTGCAGACAGGCCAAGGGGATCCCAGAAGCCCACCGGTGGCTGCACCTCAAGTCAAGTGAATTCCCTCAGCATCCCAAAGCTGCACACTCGCAAGTGGCTCAGAGGAGGAAAGACTCACTTCACGGCATCGGGGCAACGCCCCAAAATCAGGATGCGAGCCTTTGTTGCGGCTTCCCGGATAGGATGGTACCAGGATGGCTTAGAAATTTGCTTGGATGCTCGTGAAACCATGACTGGGGCTTCAAGAGCCACTAGGACCCCTTAGAGCCTGAGGCCCTTCAGGCTGGAGCCTTGCAATTCATTCACAGACTCCTATCAAAAACGTTCAAAAACCATGCTCCTGATGTCTTAAGGCCTCCCGTCTACTTGCAGTTCTAGACCGTGCCATGTCAGGTCACGCCCGTCTCGTCCTCGAAGGCCCGCAGTGGGGAATCGGTGTAGGTTGCCCAGTCACCCCATGCGGAGCCTCGCCATTCTGGTGTCGACCAGAGGTTCGCTTGATCTACGGGGGAAAGAAAAGCTCCAGGGGCCCTTTGCTGCAGGTCGCCAGGCTACTTCCTGAAGGCTCGGTTGGGGTCTATGTTTGCGGAGTTTGGAGTTCTGGGATACAGGATGCTTCAGACGACACGTTTCACTGCCGGCGCGTCGACACAGACTTTCACAGCGCATACCCTAATGCTCCTCCGCCTCGAGACCTCAACGTCCTACATATCCGCGCCCAGACAATCCGCCCGAGCGAGCAACCCACAAACCATCAAGGATCAGACCCCATCATTCCCCACTGCTAATTCTTGACCTTTGGGGATGTTCGGTTCGAACTGCTCGCTTCGCTGGTCACTTGCCGAGCCTGTGAGACCATCCTGGAAGAACATGCCAATGATGGCCATCCTGTAGCTGCAAAGGCTGCGAAAGGGAGGGCTGAGGAGCGTGAACTCTAAGCGGGCTTGAACTTAGGGGTCTTCAGTCCCATGTACAGAGTGGGGCGAGCAGGTCGCGGGGCGGGGTTCCGGGGCTAGTTCCGATCGTTTGCTCGGAACTGGGCTTCGCCCCGAATGCCGTTCCGGAGCCTAGCCTTAAATGAGATTCGCAGGCTTGCAAAAGTGCACTTGGCCCCGATAAAAACTGGCTGCTTCGGTATGCCCCATGTTCCTCCCCCTGCCCCCCCATACAATGGCCAACTGCAAGGAGAAGTTGGCCATGTGACCCCCGTACCGTGTTAGCTGCTAGCAACCTTTCATCCCCCCCCCCCTTCCTTCAAGGGACAGGTGCAATGCATGATTTTGCAAGCAAGTTGAACCTTGAAACACGTAGCCTGGGCATGCTTGGGACCCCCGCCGCCGCCAAAGAACGCAGCGGGTTGAAACTTTGCCCTCCTTAAACCTGAAGAGCTCAAACTGTGGCAATTTGGACCCATTCCAGTCGTGTCGCATGGCCAGACGGCCGTTGGCCAGCTCGGCACTCAACCTTGGCAAGCTGACTTGGACAGCTTTCCAGAGTGGGGTTTTTGCTTTTGGCGGTTTTGGGGGTGCCGAGTGCCGTTTCAGGACGAAGTATGAAAAGTGGACTCAAAAAGAGCATCGTCTGGTCAAGCCGCTGAGGTCTCAGATTAGGACTGAGGTGCTATCAAAGCCGCTCTGACGAAAACTTCATAACAACGCGTGGTTGCCTAAACATGCCACGCCTTGAACCTGCTCAAGCCCTCCAAAAACAACTCCGAAGACCCCCAGGCGGCCCAGACACTTCTTCTTCAAGCCTTCCGGATCACTGGAGGTGATGGGCTTCCAGCCGTAGTCCCCTGTCCGCTGGACTGCTTGGTTGGGGGTCTTCTTGCTTTGGAGGAGCGCTCTCGCCAGTTTTCAAGAGGGCTTCGCCTCACCGCGCTCAGCAGCCATGTGAAAGCCGTAGATGCTGACACCAAGAAGTACTGACTCCGCACCTAAACTCTCCTGATAAACCCCAGAAATTTTGGACTTGTACCCAAGTTGCACCACATCACGGGTTGGAAGGGGGTTTGGGGTTTAGGGCCAATTGTAGGGCTTCGCCACGCTGTGCGGCGCGGACCCGAGCTTCCAAATGCACCCGAAAAGTATCGGCAACCGTAGTGGACAGCGCAAGGAGGTCCAGGCAACCACGCACGGACCGTTGAAGTAACTTCGAAGACATGCATGAATTTTCTGGCCCCTCCATGACAGCTGGGATTAGGCAAGCCCGCCTGGCGTGCCAGAGTACTTGTACGCCACAATCTCGTAGTAGCCTGCGGATGCGAAACACAACTTACTTAAAGAATTCGGATCATGACTTCGGGCCTGCTGCACTGCGTGAACCCCGAAAGCCCCAAGTCAAAGCGACCCTCAAGACTCAAAACCAACGCATCCCCCTCCATGCCGCAGCCTGCAAAGGCCACGATCTGTGCCCAGCCAGCACCCGGCACCTGCCACTTCGAGAGGTTGAAGCGCAGAACCGCGAATGTGCCCATGGACCCTTTATGTTTACATTTGAGGGAGGCCAAAGCCTGGTAATTTAGAGTTTCGGGCTTATGCCCTCTTCATGACATACTGCAACCGAAACTTGATGGCACCACAACATGCAACATCAAAACGTCTTGGGAAGTTTGCCCAACACCCCCCTGAAGCAAAAGGTTAACAAAAGTAAACATGGAAACAAAAGTAAAGCTGTAAGCTGTAAATTTTCCTACTATTTCTTGTCATCGTCTGCACAACACCCCATAGAAGCTAAACAAAGAAGAATAAGCCCAGACACGTCAAAACTCAAGAATTCCCCACAAAACCAGCAAATTGGCTTCTTGCCGTCATCTATTCCAGCAGGTCCCCTTGTTTCTCTTCTCAGTCTTCTGCAGATTTGCTCGGGGTAAATTCGAAGACTTTGAAAACTTCGAGATGTTTCGTCACAGAAAATTACATTGTTAAGCTTCCTGGACCCTGGACGGGTCAGCCCTGTGCTTCTTTTTTCAGAGCTGTGCATTTTTGAAACTAAAAAGAAGCTTTTGCCCTTCACTCGAACTTCAACATTTTCAAGTTCTACACGTGTTCAAGGCCTCCTCTGTCGCGGGTTCAGAAACGTTAAACCTTTTTGCCATTCTTTGTGTGCCTTTAAGCAAGAAGCTTCTACTGCACCCGGGACGGGGAAGGCCTTTAATTTCGTTTCTTCGTCTTCTAAACTTGTAAACCTTTTGAAGATTAGTTTTTTGTAAAGCTGTTTCTCTGCAATGTTCAAAATGAAAACAAAGGGGTCCTATGCGAATACCTCCTGTGGAACGTCGCTCGAAGTTGGTTAGCCAGGTGTTGTTGAGTCGAGGGGTGTGGGGCTCTAAAACCCCAGTCCCAATGACTTCGCTAGGACTGGCTTTAAGGAACCTGACATGCTCCCCACAGCTTAGAGTTCCTCGGTTTGCTGGTGATCTATCACCTTAACGCTGAAGCCTCTGAATCCTGACCCCCCAGAAGCTTCAAACCCTATAGAGCCTAAACCCGAAGCCCGAGACCCGAAACCCGAAACCCTCAACCCTAAACCCTAAACCCTAAACCCTCCCTAAGCACCCTAAACCCTAAACCCTAAACCCTAAACCCGAAACCCGAAACCCTCAACCCAAATTCCCTTTGCTCACCTTGCTGATCGCGGCCAGGCCGTTGGGCACATCGGAGAACTTCAGGCCCAGGGAGGGGGACAGGAAACCTTAGAATCCGGTTCGCGGCGTTTTTTTGGGGCTGCAGGCAGGGGCTCCGTAGCAACGCAGTAGCTGTAACTTCGGTTCCTATTCTAACCTGCCCCTCTGCTCATGATCCTGTGCTCCTTGGCAGTCATTCGGACTTCTTCATCAGTTTTGTAAGTCGCTTCCGAGCCGGGAACAGCCCCCCAAACCCGTCCGCGCGCGAGCTCCTGAGACTCCGAGGCCGAGCCGAGGGGCCGGGCCACTTGAAGTACTCCGGCACGATGTAGCCTCAAAGGGGGGGAACTCGGGAACTGAGCTTGAGACTCCTTACAAAAGAGGTCTCAGGGTCTGTGGGAGGGCTATAGAGAAGGTTCCGAAGGTGCTTGGGACTTTGAATTCGGTACGCGGCGTTTGGGGTGTGTTGTGGGGTTTGGGGTGCTTCCTTTGTGGTGCTTCTGGTGTTTGGGGTGTTTGGGGTGTTTGTGCGAGGCTTTGGACTTTCCGGGCTTGCAGGCGTTTGGAGTCCATGCAAGCCGAACGCAGATGTGGGGTGCGTTTCCTGAGAGCCTCTGGGTTTCATGGCTTACCGTCCAGGGAGTGCAGTCCCGAGATGGCCACATACACACATTGCAAGACACAGATGTAAATAGACCATGACATTATATGCGTATATAATCACATAATATTATATATATATATATACACAGCAAATATTTGCGTTCATCATTGACATTGAAAATACACGCGGAGGTCGGCAAGCAGAGAGAGAGAGAGGAGAGAGCGGCAGTGCACATCTCAAAAAAAAAAAGGAATGTTGGAAAGGCTGCCCGCTGCGGTCCCTACGAAGGTCATCTGCACTTGCTTTTGTAGTCGCCCAGCACAGCCAGGCCACCCATCGTGGCGTACATGGCGACGCGACCATGCCTTGGTCCACTGCTTCTTCGGTTTTGCGAAGGCCCTCTGCAGATGGAAAACGCCACTCACACCCCAAAAAACCTCCACTCCCTCAACAAATCACGTAGTCTTGGGTTGAGCCCATGGGGCTGGAGTTCAGGAAGCTTTGAGTTCACATCCCTCGCAAGACGAGGCGCTTGAGCTCCGTCTCACGGCGGCGCTTGAAGGTCTCCGTGCTGCCTTAGATCTGCTGGATGCGCGCGGGGCTACCAAGATTTATGCTGAAACTCATTGCACTTTCAGAAATCATTCCTTCGCATCTGTTCCAGGTTGATCGCTGACGACGAACTTAGCTTGAACGGAGTCACGTGTTCCGCTTTTAAAGATGTCGGGCGTGGGGAAGGGTGGGAGCTTTGGGCTGGGGGCTTAGATCTGCGGATTTGAAGTCATCAATCACGCAAGGCTTTGATTAGAATTACAAGGCCTGCAAACGGAAAGGCAAGAAAGCTACAGTCTAGCACAAACCAGGAGAAGCTGCAATAGGCCTGGACCGAAGCCTCTCAAACTCCGGACTCCTACGCCTGAACACGCCGGGCCGCCATCGCGGGTGTATCCAACCGGGTCCTGGGATCACAACACAGAGTCATGGTTTCCAGATTACGGACCGCAGGGGAACGCTTGTTGGGAAGCCATGGGTGCGAGTCTGGCACTTAAGCTTCTGACATCCGATTCAGGGCGAGGTTGGCTGGGGCTTAGGAAGTTTACGGACTTAGGGGCGCATGTGCTGAATGCTTCCACGGAATGTAAGCTGCCACCCCCGCCATGCTGTAGTTCATTGCCCGTCGGCGGCGGGGTCCGAACCCCCAGGACATAAAAGGAATGAAAATCCTAAACCCTAAAGTCTTGCAGGATGTGGTATGGATCCTCGAGGCCTTCGACTTCTGCCCCCTCCTCCCGCTCCCCGAAAGCGTCTCTCCAGCTGCCAAGAAGCCCAGAAGCCCACCGGAGGCTGCACACCAAGCTCCTCCTGCCAGAAATTTGGATCTTGTGCAGCACGTAGAGGATGTCAAGGGGGTTTCAAGGTCTTCGGGAGCTGGCTTCTGAGGACATTTTTCTACTTTATACATCTTTTTGCACAGCTTCTGCAAGTCGCAAAGTGTAGGGGCGAAGTATAGCATGATCATGTTCCCAGCCAATCCTCGAAGGCCCTGAGCGGGGAGTCGGTGTAGTTGGCCCAGTCGCCCCAGGCCGAGCCCGTAAGGCCATCCTCACAGTGCTCTGCAGGTCATGGGCCGATATGGGCCGCAGTGGAAGTGTTGGGTTTTTAGCAGCTGCACGTCGGGCAAGCCTTCTGGCGCCCTAGGCGCTTTCAAGATTCCATCCGAAGATTGATATTCGTGGCTGGGAGCTTGGGGATTGCGGCTTGTTCTTCTCACCGCACTCACCACGGCTCTCAACTTACCATAGCCGGCAGTCCCCAGCTTTCAACAAGTTTCGGAAGGTGCGCTCAAAGGCTACGGATCAGGGGTGAGAACATGCTCTGCAACAGCGCCATGCCTCCACCCATCGAGGGAGTGTTTCAGGGCTTGCAAGTTCAAACCAGTTCAAAGTTTGAGGCCCTCGTTAATGGCAAGAGTTGTGAGAACAGCAACAAATGCCCGGGCACCTGGAAGAACATCCCGATGATGGCCATCATTGCAAGGCGGCCGTTCGCCAACCTTGCAGGCAAGCAGGGCTTTTTTGGATTTTCCAGTGCAGGGTTTGGTGCGAGTTCAGGTGCTGAGACAACTAAGATGCCACTCCGGTGATTGAACCCACTTTCGACGACAGAGGGGATGCCGAGACGATGATATGCATGTGCGCAATGAGGACGCGAATGGGATGCCAGGCAATGAGGCGTAAGGCCTGCTCACGGTAGGCGGGGCCCCACCGGAATGCAAGCAATAAAGGATGGCGGAATAGTGTGTGTGGAATGTAGTGCATTGCTAGACCATATTGTGGACTGATCTTGGGGACTTGTTTTGGAGTGCTTCTTTGTCGGGGAGTACGCTGTTTCGGGCCTACGCCGGAGAAGTTCCTGTACAGTTGCCCACCTACTGACCTGGTTGCTGCCATGAACTGCTCCGACATGCGTCGTAATTAACCCGTTATTTGAATGGGCAACTGGGCAACCTTGAACCCCCACAATTGACGTGCTATCGTTGCAGCTGCGAGACTCAGCGTTCAGCTTCTTCTTGCGGGCCTCCGGGTCCTGGAATGCACGCGAGTCGGGGCACACAGACTTCCACACCCAGAGCGTTGTTCTGCAACTTCTCCGAAGTGCAAGCGGCTAGACATGCGAGAATGCATATGCGTTGCTTTATGTAGAGTCGTAGAGGGTGCAAGCTGTAGCAAAGAGGAAACAAGAAACAACCCTAGCGTGTGGAGCATCAAGGGTCTCGGGAAAATCTGAATGGTATTCAAGGGAGACTAGAGGTTCAAGGACTGCTTTGATTGTGCCACACTTGGGTTTTAGCCTCTGCATCGTTTGGGGTTTCGGCTTTTGAGCGCAAGTAGATTAGAAGAAAACATCCCCACATCAACTTTTCACAGCAAGCAGGTCTGGAACAACTCGCCCAAGCCCCAATACTCCACACGTAAATCAAATCCCGAACCAGGCGGATCCTGGATGCCGGTGCTCATGACGCCAATCGACCTTGCCGCCGGCTCGCAACATGTCATTGCGGCTTAGCAGATTCAAGCTTGGGGTCGAAAGTCTAGAGCTTGGGTGGGTATAATCGCGGTGGCTCGCCGTGAAAAGCTGGGTATGAGAGGGTCCAATGCTCAGGGGTCATGTTGCTGAGGCGCATGTCTAGAATTTACACTAGTGACGAAAACTGATTACGATTGATCATTGACCAGGACGCCTTCATTCCTCTGCCCCCCATATTCTCCCATATTGGCAGGCTTTCACGTGACTGGTCTCTCCCGCACTCGGCTTTTCAGCATGTGGTGGGCCATGCAAAACATTATTTTGTCCATCTTCAAGCGGGAGTGAACGGAGTGAACTCACAAGAGGAGTGCCTAGCTGCGCAGCTTCAAAACTAGACCACGTCCGGAGTACTGCAAGGAAGAAGGCCGCGAGGAGGCCAAACAGCTCGCAGAACGAGCCCGAACTCAGCACGTAACTGTCGTAACTACTCTCCCCTTGGCCGCCCCCACCCTACCCCCACCCCTGATTCGAGGCATGTTCTTGCTGCACTCTCACTCAGTAGGTGCTGCTCTCAAACACCTTCACAGCTGCCCGTTCCCAAAACCACGCGGTTGGCTTCTCTACGTGTGGCCCTCTGTGAATGTTTTGCACTGCCTCTTGTAGTTCGGAAATCATGCCCGTTACCCCCGCTTTGCGCCTCAAACCCAGAAAGCCGGCGCCGTAGTTGCCAGGCTCATCGCCGATTTGCTCGTTGTAGACCTCGGAGGACGCGGCCGCGGGTCCCACGCGCAGAGAATGGCTGGGGGCAGCTGAGCCAGGTAAGATGTCCACATGGATCACATGGCTTGATTGCAGTTCGGGAACCAGTCAACCCTGAAGGCAAGTTGTGGGCCAAATCCTGGTTAGCTCGACAAGGAAATCCTGAACAAACCCTTGGCCTGAGAATTGAAACCTCGACCATCTCAACTCCTGAGGTTCTGCCATGTGGATCACTGTAGCAGTACTCATTCAGCATTCTTCGTATTCTTAGCGTCCGGCGTTCACCTCCACGATACCGGCAAAGCCCACGATCTGAAGCCAGCCGAAGGTCGGGACCTACAAAGAACTCGGAGAGACATATTACTTTCAGAAGCATGTTTGTCTGGAGCAAAACCAACGGAGAGACGGAGACAGAGACGGAAAGAGAGAGAGAGAGAGCGAGAAGGATGCTGGGGGCTAGGTCCCAAATTCAAAAACCAAGGAAGGGAAAGCCCTCGACGTGCAGTGCAATGTTGCAGAAGATGGAAAAAGATTGTCACACACGGCTCCCAAGCACACGGGCTATGTGGTCAACCTTTCTGGTAATTTTGATCAAGGATGTCCAGTTGCTAGGCTTTGGGTTCATTGCTTTCATTGCTGAGGATGGGGGGACTTCTCTGCCTCATCAAGCCCACAGAACAAACACGGAATCTGGAACCAAGACACGCCAAGCAATCCTCTGCTTGCAAGCCCCCGACACCCCACAACCTCGCACCCCCAGAAGATCAACAAACACCTCAGTGCCTGTGCAAGAGTCAAGGTACTCGGCCCCCTGAAGGCTCTAGCTTGAACCCCTCCGTGGCCTTGGAGATGGCTGCGAGGCCGTTGGGCATGTCGGCAAACTTGATGTCCAGGTACTTGGAGAGGTATCCAGGGAACCTGGCAACATGCAAAAGGCTGTTGGTAGGGACTACTAGGGCTCATGGCCCAAACATGGCTTGGGCTCCCGTCCCCTTTGCACCTCCAGTACTCGGGCAGGATGTAGCCAATCGTTGCGAACATGGACACCTCAGTACGCATGAGTTCTGCGCGCCCTGGACATCTCGAGGCAGCCCCAGCACGACTCCCAAAGCCCCGTCAGCCAGCTAGATGCGCGCCCAGAAACCCAGACCCATCGTACAGCCCCAAGCCCTATCGACATGTTTCCCTCCAATATTGTCACGTAAGGGCCCGATGCTCCAAACCCAAACATTCAATGCCCGTAGCAGTTCAGGATTCCGGGCTTGTGCCGTTCAGCCTTGGAGTACGTCGCCGACAACGGCCGCGCAATCTTACAACCCTCAGCGCCCAATCTGAACCCTTTGCATGCATGACCTATGTGAGGCCCTAGGGCCTCAAAATGGCAACAAGCACACAAGCACGGACAAGTGCACCGAAGGTTTTGGCCGCTCGGCTGCTCTCCGGTGTCTCCTTCCTCGATCATTGGTGGCTTTCCGCATCTGCAGCCCCATGCGGATTTGAAACTCCGAGGTGCACCGCTTGGACCGCCGACGTGCACGTCCCGTGGCTAGGGCCGGCCCGGCTGCCGAGGCGGCGCATGCAGGCAGTTGAAATTTATGTGCAACCCTGACCCGGGACTGGGGAATCCCTCCCACGCCGCCGGAACAAATCCCTTGCACAATCGGCCAGGATGCACGTCCGTGCTTCAGCTCCACCTCGCGGCGGCGGTTGAAGTCCTTAGCTCCACATGGTTCGGGGGTTTGGAGGTGGGGGGTGGATTCTGGGAGTTCGGACTATGATTTACAGACGGCGAATTTTGCAGATCTAGGGCTTGGGGACTTGTGGACCCATGCTCGCTTGGGCAGCACCTTGCACCAATCAGAAAGTAACTCAGCACCAGAAGAAGACGACGCGCATGATGCTTTAGAACAACGGCATATCTAAAAAGGTCCAGAGTCTAAAGGGTTTACTAGGACTCGGCGGGCAAGCCCCAAGAAACGCCAAGGCACCGAGAGATTTCCGCTTGCAGACAGGCCGAGGGGATCCCAGAAGCCCACCGGTGGCTGCACCTGAAGTTAAAGTGAAATCCCTCAGCATCTGGTTACACCCAAAAGTCAGATGGCTTAGAAATGTTCTTGGATGCTCGTGAAGCCATGACTAAAGGTTCAAGAACCGGCTCCTAGGACCCCTTGGAGCCTGAGGCCCTTCAGGCTGGAGCCTTGCAATTCATTCACAGACTCCTATCAAAAACGTTCAAAAACCATGGTCCTGATGCCAGCTTAGCTTAACAGCGGTTTCACCTCGCCACCGACCCTCTTAAGGCCTCTCGTCTACTTGCAGTTCAGGGCGGGCAGACCTAGACCGTGCCATGTCAGGTCACGCCCGTCTCGTCCTCGAAGGCCCGCAGCGGGGAATCGGTGTAGGTTGCCCAGTCACCCCATGCGGAGCCTCGCCGCCAGGTTCGCTTACAGCTGAGGGCCCCTTGTTGCAGGTCGCCAGGCTACTTCCTGAAGGCTAAGTTGGGGCTTATGCTTCTGGAGTTTGGAATTGATACGGGGTGCTTCAGACCACACGTTTCTGTGCAGATCGAAGCAGCCGCACACGTCCCTTGCACTGCCGGCACGTCGACCCGTACATGTCCACACCCAGACAATCTGCCAGAGCGAGAAAACCCAAACCCTCAAAGACCAGCCACCATTGCCACCGCCAAGCCGGACTGCTCGCTTAGGTGGCTAGCAAACACTAGACTCGCTGCTTGCCGAGCCTGTGAGACCATCCTGGAAGAACATGCCAATGATGGCCATCCTGTCTGCATAGGCATTGGCAGCGAAAAGCAGGGCTGAGAAGATTCCGACTTTATCAAGGGTTGGGGCTGTTTGAAGTCTAGGATTCAGGATTATGGCCGTTGTCTTCTTTCTTTGTCTCTTTCTGTGTTGGGGCTGTCAGGATTCAATCCAACTCCGAGTGGGTTTCAGGTTCTGGGTCTGTCAGGTCTAGGGTATGAAAATCTTGAGGTTGCAAGCAAGGCAAGGCCAAATGACAGGCATGAAAACTGTTGGCGATATCACAGCGGCTTGTTGGATTGGGCAGTTGCGGCTCTTGCAGAGTTAATTTGGAAGCGAGCCGAGTTGCATCGCCAGCCTTCCGTTGGCGATCTCGGCGCTCAACCTTGCATTGGAACTGGGACACGGACAAGGCAGTGGGGATCTGACACGTATCCGACATATGCCGCATTCCGCAGCCTATGCTTGTCTGCATTCACCCTGTCCTGCGCTTCGACCAATTAATCACTGGTGTTCAACATTGTTCAACTGTGGAGGGGCTGATGCTCTGCGTGAACAATCACGGAGTATCCCTCAACCAGCCCAACATGTTCAACAAAGTCCAGGGGCTTCTTCTTGAGAGTCTCGGGATCACTGGAGGTGATCGGCTTCCAGCCATAGTCACCTCGATGCACAAGCGAGGTCTGGGTCTGATGCGCATCCCCCAAAGGCACCCCCATTCCGCCGGACCTGGGGTTCCGCTGTACTTGTACACTGAGAGCTCGTAGTAGCCGGCAAAGGCCACGATCTGCGCCCAGCCAGCACCAGGCACCTCAGCAAGAGGAGAGAGTTCCGTTTTCCGTCCTCAAGAAGTCAAGATGGTGTGATGCGAATCCTGCTTGATTGTAGGTTTAGGATGGTTTTCGGTGGGGGTGTGGCTACAAGGCAACCATGGGCAGCATCTGAAAACACCCGAAGGCCCGGGAGGGCACCTTCGTGATGGCAGCCAAGCCATTCGGCACGTCCGAGAACTTCAGGCCGAGGGAGGGCGAGAGGAATCCTGACGGTTTTAGGAGCCGAGTCACAGATGAGGGCTGCTGGGGGTCCGACGTTCGGGTAGCCGCTATCTCCGCTATCTTTCTTATCAGGCGAACTTTCTGCGGAAAGATCCACTGAGGATTTTGTCAAGGCTCGGGGGCCAGCATGCAACAAGACCAGATACGTCTTTGGGCCTTAGCCCTTCCCAAGCCCACAGCTTGAAGGCAAGGTGGACCCAGCCTGGCCACTTGAAGTACTCAGGCACGATGTAGCCTCAAAGTATAGGATGAAATGTCACACTGTGGTGGTCATACAGATGTCGACGGGGTTGGCTCAGGTTTCACAACACAGCCTTATCCTTCCACTTTTGAGAGGACTGACCAGACAGAGCCTGTGCAAATCTACCTTTTGAAGCTAGCTCAAATCGCCGCGCAGCCCATGGTGGCATACATCGCCACACGGCCATGCCTCGCTCAAGGGGGCGTGAAAGGGGCTCCTACACTTTGCTCTCTTTTCGTGAAGCAACTGTAAAGCAACAAAAGTTGCTGCACTTGTTGCCAGCGTGTTTTGTTACGGCCAACGAATCCTTTGCCATTATTGAAAGGCATCTGTCGTTTCGGGCGGTAGCTTTAACTGGCCGAGGCGCTTGATTTCGGTCTCGCGCCGGCGCTTGAAGGTGTCGGCGTTGCCTCCGGAGGGAGGCTTTCGTGCCCAGGGTCTGGGGCGTAGTTAGCTACCCGATGCACCTAAGCAAGCGATATGTTCCATTCTGCACTCCCTTGGAGAAAATCCAGAAAGCACTCAAACACTCACACTTGTTAGTGGTGCAGCTTGCCAGTTCTAGCAAGAGCTAGGCGAGCTAGGCGAGCTAGGGTCTCGTTTTCTCCCTTCGACAGGTCGGCCTTAGGGTTCAGAAGACGCAGAGGTAGCGCCAAATTCTCACGTGAAAGTTTCACCATATTTCTACGACGCGAAAAGAAGAGAGTTCATGGCGTAGGCACTGCTCAACGCCATTCTTAAAAAGATCTGTAAGTCTGCAAGCCCCCTGCTCATTCTGACTTCGTTGCTGACTTCGTCAACTTGCGTTTCCTCCTCTGACCCCTATACATCAAAGTCCGCCAAGGCACCATCACGAGTGTAGCCCACAGGATCCTGTAGGCTCACGTTTCAAGGTTCGGGCGGGGTTGCCGTTGGATTCTGACGTGTTTAAGACTTGAGGGCCACTTCAGGGCTTCCACAGCGTCTCCACAGTGATTCCATTTCTTGCTTGCAGTGCTTGCGTGCTTTCGGGATTCAGGTGCTGCTTCCGAGGCACCCAGAAGCCGACCGGGGGCTGAACACCCAGCTCCTCCTGAAAGCACGGCTGCGCGGCTTTTGAGAGGATTTTGAGTTTAGCAGCAGAAGGGGTGCGACTGTCATTGAACAACCCTTCCTAAACTCGCACGCCACCTTACCTCACCTGCGGCTTCACCTCGCCACAGACCCGCTTAAGGCCTCCCGTTGCAGTTCAGGGTGGACAGATTTACCCCGTGCCACGGTCACGCCCGTCTCGTCCTCGAAGGCCCGCAGGGGGGAATCGGTGTAGGTGGCCCAGTCACCCCATGCGGAGCCTCGCCGCTCTTGTGTCTATTGTGTCTACCAGGTTCGCTTCATCTACAAAGGTTCCAGCGTCGCCAGGCTAGTTCAGGATCAAGGTTAGGTTGGGGTCTACGCTTCTAGAGTTTGGAGCTTGGGGATACAAGATGCTTCAGGCGGCACTTTCACTGCCGGCACGTCGACCCAGACTCCCACACGGTACACCCGAATGCGCCTGCGCCTCGAAACCTCCAGAAAATCCGCCAGAGCGAGCAGCCCCAGAACCCTCAAAGACCCGCCCCCACCACTGCCACCGCTAAGCCTTTCTTGACCTTTCGGGATGTTCGGCTTGGGTGGCTAAGAAGCACTAGCTAGATTCACTACTTGCCGAGCCTGTGAGACCATCCTGGAAGAACATGCCAATGATGGCCATCCTGTAGCTGCATAGGCATGCAAAAAGCAATGCAAAAAGCAGGGCTGAGAAGATTCTCATTGGATGAGTCTCCCGCCTCTATCAAGGGTTGGGGTTGTTTGAAGTCAGGGGAGTCAGGATTAAGGGGACACTGGATTAGGCCTTGTGTTTTGTGGCCGCTGTCTTCTTTCCTTGTCTCTCTCTGTGTTGGGGCTGTCAGGATTCAATTCTACTCCGAGTGGGTTTCAGGTACTAAGTCCCTCAGGTCTAGGGTATGAAAATCTTGAGGTTACTGTTTCCCCAACAGCTTGAGCTTAGGGGTCTTCAGTCCCTGTGTCGGCAGGCTCGAAAACCTTGCCTTGAATCAGGTTCGGATGAAACGCAAGGCAAGGCACAGCGTTTGTTGGACAGTTGCGGCTCTTGCAGAGTTAATTTGGAAGCGAGCCGAGTTGCATCGCCAGCCTTCCGTTGGCGATCTCGGCGCTCAACCTTGCATTGGAACTGGGACACGGACAAGGCAGTGGGGATCTGACACGTATCCGACATATGCCGCATTCCGCAGCCTATGCTTGTCTGCATTCACCCTGTCCTGCGCTTCGACCAATTAATCACTGGTGTTCAACATTGTTCAACTGTGGAGGGGCTGATGCTCTGCGTGAACAATCACGGAGTATCCCTCAACCAGCCCAACATGTTCAACAAAGTCCAGGGGCTTCTTCTTGAGAGTCTCGGGATCACTGGAGGTGATCGGCTTCCAGCCATAGTCACCTCGATGCACAAGCGAGGTCTGGGTCTGATGCGCATCCCCCAAAGGCACCCCCATTCCGCCGGACCTGGGGTTCCGCTGTACTTGTACACTGAGAGCTCGTAGTAGCCGGCAAAGGCCACGATCTGCGCCCAGCCAGCACCAGGCACCTCAGCAAGAGGAGAGAGTTCCGTTTTCCGTCCTCAAGAAGTCAAGATGGTGTGATGCGAATCCTGCTTGATTGTAGGTTTAGGATGGTTTTCGGTGGGGGTGTGGCTACAAGGCAACCATGGGCAGCATCTGAAAACACCCGAAGGCCCGGGAGGGCACCTTCGTGATGGCAGCCAAGCCATTCGGCACGTCCGAGAACTTCAGGCCGAGGGAGGGCGAGAGGAATCCTGACGGTTTTAGGAGCCGAGTCACAGATGAGGGCTGCTGGGGGTCCGACGTTCGGGTAGCCGCTATCTCCGCTATCTTTCTTATCAGGCGAACTTTCTGCGGAAAGATCCACTGAGGATTTTGTCAAGGCTCGGGGGCCAGCATGCAACAAGACCAGATACGTCTTTGGGCCTTAGCCCTTCCCAACCCCACAGCTTGAAGGCAAGGTGGACCCAGCCTGGCCACTTGAAGTACTCAGGCACGATGTAGCCTCAAAGTATAGGATGAAATGTCACACTGTGGTGGTCATACAGATGTCGACGGGGTTGGCTCAGGTTTCACAACACAGCCTTATCCTTCCACTTTTGAGAGGACTGACCAGACAGAGCCTGTGCAAATCTACCTTTTGAAGCTAGCTCAAATCGCCGCGCAGCCCATGGTGGCATACATCGCCACACGGCCATGCCTCGCTCAAGGGGGCGTGAAAGGGGCTCCTACACTTTGCTCTCTTTTCGTGAAGCAACTGTAAAGCAACAAAAGTTGCTGCACTTGTTGCCAGCGTGTTTTGTTACGGCCAACGAATCCTTTGCCATTATTGAAAGGCATCTGTCGTTTCGGGCGGTAGCTTTAACTGGCCGAGGCGCTTGATTTCGGTCTCGCGCCGGCGCTTGAAGGTGTCGGCGTTGCCTCCGGAGGGAGGCTTTCGTGCCCAGGGTCTGGGGCGTAGTTAGCTACCCGATGCACCTAAGCAAGCGATATGTTCCATTCTGCACTCCCTTGGAGAAAATCCAGAAAGCACTCAAACACTCACACTTGTTAGTGGTGCAGCTTGCCAGTTCTAGCAAGAGCTAGGCGAGCTAGGCGAGCTAGGGTCTCGTTTTCTCCCTTCGACAGGTCGGCCTTAGGGTTCAGAAGACGCAGAGGTAGCGCCAAATTCTCACGTGAAAGTTTCACCATATTTCTACGACGCGAAAAGAAGAGAGTTCATGGCGTAGGCACTGCTCAACGCCATTCTTAAAAAGATCTGTAAGTCTGCAAGCCCCCTGCTCATTCTGACTTCGTTGCTGACTTCGTCAACTTGCGTTTCCTCCTCTGACCCCTATACATCAAAGTCCGCCAAGTCACCATCACGAGTGTAGCCCACAGGATCCTGTAGGCTCACGTTTCAAGGTTCGCGCGGGGTTGCCGTTGGATTCTGACGTGTTTAAGACTTGAGGGCCACTTCAGGGCTTCCACAGCATCTCCACAGTGATTCCATTTCTTGCTTGCAGTGCTTGCGTGCTTTCGGGATTCAGGTGCTGCTTCCGAGGCACCCAGAAGCCGACCGGGGGCTGAACACCCAGCTCCTCCTGAAAGCACGGCTGCGCGGCTTTTGAGAGGATTTTGAGTTTAGCAGCAGAAGGGGTGCGACTGTCATTGAACAACCCTTCCTAAACTCGCACGCCACCTTACCTCACCTGCGGCTTCACCTCGCGACCCGCTTAAGGCCTCCCGTTGCAGTTCAGGGTGGACAGATTTACCCCGTGCCACGGTCACGCCCGTCTCGTCCTCGAAGGCCCGCAGGGGGGAATCGGTGTAGGTGGCCCAGTCACCCCATGCGGAGCCTCGCCGCTCTTGTGTCTATTGTGTCTACCAGGTTCGCTTCATCTACAAAGGTTCCAGCGTCGCCAGGCTAGTTCAGGATCAAGGTTAGGTTGGGGTCTACGCTTCTAGAGTTTGGAGCTTGGGGATACAAGATGCTTCAGGCGGCACTTTCACTGCCGGCACGTCGACCCAGACTCCCACACGGTACACCCGAATGCGCCTGCGCCTCGAAACCTCCAGAAAATCCGCCAGAGCGAGCAGCCCCAGAACCCTCAAAGACCCGCCCCCACCACTGCCACCGCTAAGCCTTTCTTGACCTTTCGGGATGTTCGGCTTGGGTGGCTAAGAAGCACTAGCTAGATTCACTACTTGCCGAGCCTGTGAGACCATCCTGGAAGAACATGCCAATGATGGCCATCCTGTAGCTGCATAGGCATGCAAAAAGCAATGCAAAAAGCAGGGCTGAGAAGATTCTCATTGGATGAGTCTCCCGCCTCTATCAAGGGTTGGGGTTGTTTGAAGTCAGGGGAGTCAGGATTAAGGGGACACTGGATTAGGCCTTTTGTTTTGTGGCCGCTGTCTTCTTTCCTTGTCTCTCTCTGTGTTGGGGCTGTCAGGATTCAATTCAACTCCAAGTGGGTTTCAGGTACTAATTCCCTCAGGTCTAGGGTATGAAAACCTTGAGGTTACTGTTTCCCCAACAGCTTGAGCTTAGGGGTCTTCAGTCCCTGTGTCGGCAGGCTCGAAAACCTTGCCTTAAATCAGGTTCTGTCTCGCAAGGCAAGGCTGAATGACAGGCATGAAAACTGTTGACGATATCACAGGGGTTTGTTGGATTTGGCAGTTGCGACTCTTGCAGAGTTAATTTGGAAGGTCTTAAGTTGGAGACTTTGAGATTGAGGCTCGTGGCAGAATTGGGGGTTCAGCTATTGTTGCTGTCCTGAAGCCCGACAGCCAATCGAACGGGAGAATTTGGGATCGAGACGAACAGACGCGATTGCAGGACTCTCAGCATCTCTCAGCATAGGCGGTGGGTTTCGACGATAGGGTCCCTCATTGCAAGCAGAGTTCACGTCTTCGCTCCTGGTGAAGGAACAGAGGTTGACGCATTTTCAGGTTCGTGGATTGGCTTGAGTTTGGACTTGGGCGTGAAGCTTTCGTCTCGCTGCGAGCCGAGTTGCATCGCCAGCCTTCCGTTGGCGATCTCGGCGCTCAACCTTGCATTGGAACTGGGACACGGACAAGTCCGGCAGTGGGGATCTGACACGTATCCGACATATGCCGCATTCCGCAGCCTATGCTTGTCTGCATTCACCCTGTCCTGCGCTTCGACCAATTAATCACTGGTGTTCAACATTGTTCAACTGTGGAGGGGCTGATGCTCTGCGTGAACAATCACGGAGTATCCCTCAACCAGCCCAACATGTTCAACAAAGTCCAGGGGCTTCTTCTTGAGAGTCTCGGGATCACTGGAGGTGATCGGCTTCCAGCCATAGTCACCTCGATGCACAAGCGAGGTCTGGGTCTGATGCGCATCCCCCAAAGGCACCCCCATTCTGCCGGACCTGGGGTTCCGCTGTACTTGTACACTGAGAGCTCGTAGTAGCCGGCAAAGGCCACGATCTGCGCCCAGCCAGCACCAGGCACCTCAGCAAGAGGAGAGAGTTCCGTTTTCCGTCCTCAAGAAGTCAAGATGGTATGATGCGAATCCTGCTTGATTGTAGGTTTAGGATGGTTTTCGGTGGGGGTGTGGCTACAAGGCAACCATGGGCAGCATCTGAAAACACCCGAAGGCCCGGGAGGGCACCTTCGTGATGGCAGCCAAGCCATTCGGCACGTCCGAGAACTTCAGGCCGAGGGAGGGCGAGAGGAATCCTGACGGTTTTAGGAGCCGAGTCACAGATGAGGGCTGCTGGGGGTCCGACGTTCGGGTAGCCGCTATCTCCGCTATCTTTCTTATCAGGCGAACTTTCTGCGGAAAGATCCACTGAGGATTTTGTCAAGGCTCGGGGGCCAGCATGCAACAAGACCAGATACGTCTTTGGGCCTTAGCCCTTCCCAACCCCACAGCTTGAAGGCAAGGTGGACCCAGCCTGGCCACTTGAAGTACTCAGGCACGATGTAGCCTCAAAGTATAGGATGAAATGTCACACTGTGGTGGTCATACAGATGTCGACGGGGTTGGCTCAGGTTTCACAACACAGCCTTATCCTTCCACTTTTGAGAGGACTGACCAGACAGAGCCTGTGCAAATCTACCTTTTGAAGCTAGCTCAAATCGCCGCGCAGCCCATGGTGGCATACATCGCCACACGGCCATGCCTCGCTCAAGGGGGCGTGAAAGGGGCTCCTACACTGTGCTCTCTTTTCGTGAAGCAACCGTGAAGCAACAAAAGTTGCTGCACTTGTTGCCAGCGTGTTTTGTGCGATGAGATCGATTTAGGCCCGGACAGGTTAGATGATTTTGGGATTCCGAAACTTCTAAAATTTCGGGATGCGGGAGCCCCAGAATTTTGTCAACTTAGTCGAGGCGCTTGATTTCGGTCTCGCGCCGGCGCTTGAAGGTGTCGGCGTTGCCTCCGGAGGGAGGCTTTCGTGCCCAGGGTCTAGGGCGGAGTTAGCTACCCGATGCACCTAAGCAAGCGATATGTTCCATTCTGCACTCCCTTGGATAAAATCCCAGAAAGCACTCAAACACTCACACTTGCCAGTGGTGCAACTTGCCAATTCTACCAGGAGCTAGGCGAGCTAGGCGAGCTAGGCGAGCTAGGCGAGCTAGGGTCTCGTTTTCTCCCTTCAACAGGTCGGCCTTAGGGTTCAGAAGACTCAGAAGATACAGACCAGGCAGGTAGCGCCAAATTCTCACGTGAAAGTTTCACCATATTTCTACGACGCGAAAAGAAGAGAGTTCATGGCGTAGGCACTGCTCAACGCCATTCTTAGAAAGATCTGTAAGTCTGCAAGCCCCCTGCTCATTCTGATTTCGTTGCTGACTTCGTCAACTTGCGTTTCCTCCTCTGACCCCTATACATCAAAGTCCGCCAAGTCACCATCACGAGTGTAGCCCACAGGATCCTGTAGGCTCACGCTTCAAGGTTCGGGCGGGGTTGCCGTTGGATTCTGACGTGTTTAAGACTTGAGGGCCACTTCAGGGCTTCCACAGCGTCTCCACAGTGATTCCATTTCTTGCTTGCAGTGCTTGCGTGCTTTCGGGATTCAGGTGCTGCTTCCGAGGCACCCAGAAGCCGACCGGGGGCTGAACACCCAGCTCCTCCTGAAAGCACGGCTGCGCGGCTTTTGAGAGGATTTTGAGTTTAGCAGCAGAAGGGGTGCGACTGTCATTGAACCACGCGGTGGATGAGATGGCTTGGACTCGTGCAGAATTTTTGGAGGGCTGACTAGGAAGAGCTGCAGTGGCTGGCACAGCGACTGCCCTCTACACGACCAGGGCGAAGCCCCAGCAGCCAGGACATGCGAAATCAGCAGCGGCTTCACCTCGCCACAGACCCGCTTAAGGCCTCCCGTTGCAGTTCAGGGTGGACAGATTTACCCCGTGCCACGGTCACGCCCGTCTCGTCCTCGAAGGCCCGCAGGGGGGAATCGGTGTAGGTGGCCCAGTCACCCCATGCGGAGCCTCGCCGCTCTTGTGTCTATTGTGTCTACCAGGTTCGCTTCATCTACAAAGGTTCCAGCGTCGCCAGGCTAGTTCAGGATCAAGGTTAGGTTGGGGTCTACGCTTCTAGAGTTTGGAGTTCGGGGATACAAGATGCTTCAGGCGGCACTTTCACTGCCGGCACGTCGACCCAGACTCCCACACGGTACACCCGAATGCGCCTGCGCCTCGAAACCTCCAGAAAATCCGCCAGAGCGAGCAGCCCCAGAACCCTCAAAGACCCGCCCCCACCACTGCCACCGCTAAAGCCTTTCTTGACCTTTCGGGATGTTCGGCTTGGGTGGCTAACAAACATTAACAAACACTAGACTCGCTGCTTGCCGAGCCTGTGAGACCATCCTGGAAGAACATGCCAATGATGGCCATCCTGTAGCTGCATAGGCATTGGCAGCGAAAAGCAGGGCTGAGAAGATTCTCATTGGATTAGTCGTCCGGCTTTATCAAGGGTTGGGGTCAACAGGTTGAGCTGGCTCTTGCAGAGTTAATTTGGAAGCGAGCCGAGTTGCATCGCCAGCCTTCCGTTGGCGATCTCGGCGCTCAACCTTGCATTGGAACTGGGACACGGACAAGTCCGGCAGTGGGGATCTGACACGTATCCGACATATGCCGCATTCCGCAGCCTATGCTTGTCTGCATTCACCCTGTCCTGCGCTTCGACCAATTAATCACTGGTGTTCAACATTGTTCAACTGTGGAGGGGCTGATGCTCTGCGTGAACAATCACGGAGTATCCCTCAACCAGCCCAACATGTTCAACAAAGTCCAGGGGCTTCTTCTTGAGAGTCTCGGGATCACTGGAGGTGATCGGCTTCCAGCCATAGTCACCTCGATGCACAAGCGAGGTCTGGGTCTGATGCGCATCCCCCAAAGGCACCCCCATTCCGCCGGACCTGGGGTTCCGCTGTACTTGTACACTGAGAGCTCGTAGTAGCCGGCAAAGGCCACGATCTGCGCCCAGCCAGCACCAGGCACCTCAGCAAGAGGAGAGAGTTCCGTTTTCCGTCCTCAAGAAGTCAAGATGGTATGATGCGAATCCTGCTTGATTGTAGGTTTAGGATGGTTTTCGGCGGGGGTGTGGCTACAAGGCAACCATGGGCAGCATCTGAAAACACCCGAAGGCCCGGGAGGGCACCTTCGTGATGGCAGCCAAGCCATTCGGCACGTCCGAGAACTTCAGGCCGAGGGAGGGCGAGAGGAATCCTGACAGTTTTAGGGTCTGACGTTCGGGCAGCCGCTATCTCCGCTATCTTTCTTATCAGGCGAACTTTCTGCGGAAAGATCCACTGAGGATTTCGTCAAGGCTCGGGGGCCAGCATGCACCAAGACCAGATACGTCCTTGGGCCTTAGCCCTTCCCAACCCCCACAGCTTCTTGAAGGCAAGGTGGACCCAGCCTGGCCACTTGAAGTACTCAGGCACGATGTAGCCTCAAAGTATAGCATAACATGTCACACTGTGCTCGTCATACAGATGTCGACGGGGCTGGCTCAGGTTTCACAACACAGCCTTCTCCTTCCACTTTTGCCAGGACTGACCAGAGGGAGCCTGTGCAAAATTTCATTTTGAAGCTAGCTCAAACTGCCGCGCAGCCCATGGTGGCATACATCGCCACACGGCCATGCCTCGCTCAAGGGGGCGTGAAAGGGGCTCCTACACTTTGCTCTCTTTTCGTGAAGCAACTGTGAAGCAAAAATAGTTGCTGCACTTGTTGCCAGCGTGTTTTGTGTGATGAGATCGATTTAGGCCCGGACAGGTTAGATGATTTTGGGATTCCGAAACATATAAAGTTTCGGGATGCGGGAGCCCCAGAATTTGTAAACTTAGTCGAGGCGCTTGATTTCGGTCTCGCGCCGGCGCTTGAAGGTGTCGGCGTTGCCTCCGGAGGGAGGCTTTCGTGCCCAGGCTCTAGGGCGCAAAGCAAGCGATATGTTCCATTCTGCACTCCCTTGGATAAAATCCCAGAAAGCACTCAAACACTCACACTTGCCAGTGGTGCAACTTGCCAATTCTACCAGGAGCTAGGCGAGCGCGAGCTAGGCGAGCTAGGCGAGCTAGGGTCTCGTTTTCTCCCTTCAACAGGTCGGCCTTAGGGTTCAGAAGACTCAGAAGATACAGACCAGGCAGGTAGCGCCAAATTCTCACGTGAAAGTTTCACCATATTTCTACGACGCGAAAAGAAGAGAGTTCATGGCGTAGGCACTGCTCAACGCCATTCTTAGAAAGATCTGTAAGTCTGCAAGCCCCCTGCTCATTCTGATTTCGTTGCTGACTTCGTCAACTTGCGTTTCCTCCTCTGACCCCTATACATCAAAGTCCGCCAAGTCACCATCACGAGTGTAGCCCACAGGATCCTGTAGGCTCACGCTTCAAGGTTCGGGCGGGGTTGCCGTTGGATTCTGACGTGTTTAAGACTTGAGGGCCACTTCAGGGCTTCCACAGCGTCTCCACAGTGATTCCATTTCTTGCTTGCAGTGCTTGCGTGCTTTCGGGATTCAGGTGCTGCTTCCGAGGCACCCAGAAGCCGACCGGGGGCTGAACACCCAGCTCCTCCTGAAAGCACGGCTGCGCGGCTTTTGAGAGGATTTTGAGTTTAGCAGCAGAAGGGGTGCGACTGTCATTGAACAACCCTTCCTAAACTCGCACGCCACCTTACCTCACCTGCGGCTTCACCTCGCCACAGACCCGCTTAAGGCCTCCCGTTGCAGTTCAGGGTGGACAGATTTACCCCGTGCCACGTCAGGTCACGCCCGTCTCGTCCTCGAAGGCCCGCAGGGGGGAATCGGTGTAGGTGGCCCAGTCACCCCATGCGGAGCCTCCCGCTCTTGTGTCTATTGTGTCTTCCAGGTTCGCTTCATCTACAAAGGTTCCAGCGTCGCCAGGCTAGTTCAGGATCAAGGTTAGGTTGGGGTCTACGCTTCTAGAGTTTGGAGTTCGGGGATACAAGATGCTTCAGGCGGCACTTTCACTGCCGGCACGTCGACCCAGACAGCGTATGCCCTAAAGCGCCTAAGCCCCGAGACCTCAACGTCTCTCGAGGCTAAAAGTGCCCCAAAACTTCAATCCTACATAAACCTACACCCAGAAAATCCGCCTGAGCGAGCAGCCACAGAACCCGCAAAGACCGACCCGCCCCCACTGCCGCCGGTAAGCCTAGTTCGGCTTGGGTGGCCAACAAACACTAGACTCGCTGCTTGCCGAGCCTGTGAGACCATCCTGGAAGAACATGCCAATGATGGCCATCCTGTAGCTGCATAGGCATTGGCAGCGAAAAGCAGGGCTGAGAAGATTCTCATTGAATTAGTCGTCCGGCTTTATCAAGGGTTGGGGTCAACAGGTTGAGCTGGCTCTTGCAGAGTTAATTTGGAAGCGAGCCGAGTTGCATCGCCAGCCTTCCGTTGGCGATCTCGGCGCTCAACCTTGCGTTGAAACTGGGATACGGACAAGTCCGGCAGTGGGGATCTGACACGTATCCGACATATGCCGCATTCCGCAGCCTATGCTTGTCTGCATTCACCCTGTCCTGTGCTTCGACCAATTAATCACTGGTGCAATCACTGAGAATCCCTCAACCAGCCCAACATGTCCAACAAAGTCCAGGGGCTTCTTCTTGAGAGTCTCGGGATCACTTGAGGTGATCGGCTTCCAGCCATAGTCACCTCGATGCACAAGCGAGGTCTGGGTCTGATGCGGTGCTGGACTGGCCTTTCGTGGTGATCCCCTAAGTCCTAAGGACCCCGCCCCCCGACCCCCCTCGCCAAAGCCCCACTGACCCCAAACATCCCCCAAACGCACCCCATTTCCCCCCGACCTGGGGTTCCGCTGTACTTGTACACTGAGAGCTCGTAGTAGCCGGCAAAGGCCACGATCTGCGCCCAGCCAGCACCAGGCACCTCAGCAAGAGGAGAGAGTTCCGTTTCCGTCCATCAGAAGTCCAGATGGGTCAATGCCTTTCCAAGATGATGATGCGAATCCTGCTTGATTGTACGAGTAGGTTTTGGTGGATGTTGTGCGCGGCAAGGCAACGCTGAAACATCCTGAAACATCCTGAGACTTCGGGTTTTACTCACCTGAAGCCTGGGGTTTGACTGAGTGGGGCACCTTGGTGATGGCAGCCAGGCCGTTCGGCACGTCCGAAAACTTCAAACCGAGGGAGGGCGAGAGGAATCCTGACGGGTTCACAGACCTTACTGGTATCGTTGAACATGGAGGCTCGGGCACTGTAGGGGCCTTGTTCGGGACTTCGGGCAGCGCTCTAGGATCTTTCTACGGAAAGATCCACACTACTGGGGATTTCGTGAGGGCTTGGGGGCCCAGCATGCAGCTTCACAGACCTCATCGAACTCTGAGCCTTCTTACTCGTATCAGAGGCAAATATCTGTTTGGCAATCGAACTGAGGCGGTGGTCAAGCTGACCACTGGCTCCGAAGCCCCAAGCTGGCAGCTTGCAATGCAGGCCTATCCGATAACACAACTATAAAGGTACCGGGTGTGAGGTATGAACGGAGGACTCACGGCTTCGAGCGGTAGAGTCCAACTTGAGGAAGCCATGTAATTTAGAGTTCCAAGTGCATCGCTGAGGAAATTGGGAGGTGTGATGTGAAGCTGTTGGTTCCAGGACTTGCTGAGCCCTTAGCACCTAAGAGGTGCCAATGCCAGGATCCCTGTAGCTAGTGGGTCCTTTGATGCTCTGCTCGTGCTTGTTTGGGACTTCGGGCGTGGGCCCAGCATGCAACAAGACTAGATGGCTAGATGAGTCATCCGAGAGCTTCTTGAAGGCAAAGGTGGACCCCAGCCTGGCCACTTGAAGTACTCAGGCACGATGTAGCCTCAAAGCAGGATGAATTTTGCAGGGGGCTTGGATGCTTTCGGGGTGCAAAGCTCACCTTGCGACGCCTGAGAAGTCAGGAAGGGCTTGAGGGTCTGGAGAGTAGGTGTTTAGGGTGGGAGGGTTTAAGGGCACGACACCTCTTTGGGGCTTTATGCAGGACGTCGTGCCAGATTCTCTGAGCTTCAAGAGAGAGCGAGAATAGGCATTCCACACCGTGGTGGGTGAACAGATGTCGGAAACCAAAGAGAGCTTGTGCGGCCACCACACAACCGAACTGTTAGGGTCTAGCAAGCTCAGTGCCGAACCGTCTCAACCAGAGAAGCAACTAGAAGTAGAAGCCCTGGCAAGCACCCTCCCGATTATGTAGTCGAAAAAAAGAAAATAAGGCCTGCATTGAGCTCCTCAGCCGCTCTCTTCTTTACAGAAGCGGGAACTACAAAGAGTAGCACCCCGTTGGCACCCAAGCCAAGGCCCAGCCCCAAGAAGTTCAGAGCAGACTTGGACTCGAGGGCAGAATTTCGGGGCACCGAAACGGCCTTATTTAACATGTAAATTCTTGAACTAGCTCTTGCCGCGCCGCCCATGGTGGCATACATCGCCACACGGCCATGCCTCGTTCAAGATGGTTTTGGGTTTCCGAAACTGAGAAAGTTTAGGGAAGGCTTCCTGTTTTGCGATAGCCCCAGATTTGATCAAGTTCGTCCCCATCTTGCTGTGAATTGCTGGCTGGTTCACACAGGGATCGGTGCACTCAGCGGGGTGCGCTGGAGCGGGGTTCGGGATGCAAGTCATTGCTGTTCAGATCCGTCTTTGACCCTTGCTGCTCTCGCAGCTTCTATTCAAATTTGCCGTTGAAAAAGCATCGCGCGTTGCGAAGGGTGGCTTCAACTAGCCGAGGCGCTTGATTTCCGTCTCGCGCCGGCGCTTGAAGGTGTCGGCATTGCCTCCGGAGCAAGGCTTTCGTTCCCAGGGTCCAGCGAATTTCATGACGTTTCAATACATTCCATCGTCGCCAGATTTCTACGACGGGCAAAGAAGAGAGTTCACAGCGTAGAGATCTGTGAGTCTGCAAGTCCTGCCCATTCTGACTGCGCTGCTGACTTTGCAACTTGTGTTTCCTCATCCTCTGACCCCTATACATCAAAGGCCGCCAAGGCACCATCACGAGTGTAGCCCACGGGATCCTGTGGGCTCAGGTTTGAAAGTTCGGGAAGGGCGGGGTTGCCTTTGGATTCTGCTATTCTGCCTTTTAGGGCTTCAGGGGGGTCTTAAGGGCCTCCAGAGCTTCCCACAGTGCAGCGCTCGCAGTGCTTTCAGGGTTCGGCCCCTGCTGCCGAGGCACCCAGAAGCCGACCGGGGGCTGAACACCCAGCTCCTCCTGAAAGTTGAGAGGGCTTGAGCGGTTTTGGGGGCGCACCCACCTTGAGGAGGTCTGAGATTTTGGATATGTCCGAGAGAAGTTTAAGTAAGGGGTTTGAGGCTGAGGCGCCTGCAGCACTTTCAGCAGCAAAGTGGGGTGCTGTCACTGAACCATGAGGGTCTCAAGATGATTCGCCGAAGTGCAGGATCTTTAGGGCGCACTGAAACCGTAAACGGTTCACACAAACACAGGACTGCAAGCCTCGAACGCACGCAGGGGTGAGTCGGCGTAGTTGGCCCAGTCGCCTCAAGTCACTGTAAGAACAGGTCTGGGACCTCCGGGTGAGAAGCGGCTTGCTTGTTCAACACACCCCATGGCAGCGACGGACTGACAAGCGGACGCATGGACGAAACATCGTGGGACAGAGAGAGAGAGAGAGAGAGAGAGAGAGAGAGAAAGAGAGAGAGAGAGAGAGAGAAGGAGTAAGGGAGAGGGAGACACATCGAGAAAGAGTGGTACTCGTCGGCCCAACTCTGCTTCCACCGATGCATGCTTCGAGCCTGCGCCTCACTTCATGCACAAACGCACACCATTGTGGACTTGGGACTGCCCCAAACTAGCTCATCACTCTGCAGGAGGGCATTGTTGGCAATGCTCATTTCTTTTGGGGCTTTCCAGGGGGCTTCCTGGGCTTCCTGGGCTTCCTGGGCTTCCTGGGCTTTTCGAGGCGTGCGTTGGCACAGGTGGCAGGTATTGAGTCGCAGGGCTTTGGGGTGATTCTTATTGGGAAACCCACAAGAAGTCTTCAAGAAGGATCCCTCTTCAGTTCAATAGCACCTCACAATTCTTGATGCGATAAGCAACTAAGTCAAAAGCTTGCTTTTCTGGATTTGGGGTGTCACACTGCGTGGCCCCATCAAACTTGCCCGAATCCAGCAGCATAGCTGGGCCATTGAACCCACCTTAAACACACCGGCCCAGTTGCCCCATGCGGAGCCGGTAAGGCCATCTTGGAAGAACATGCCTCGGCATGGAAATGAAGCTCAGAGCGGCGAGAACTGTGTGGGTGTGCGAGAACTGTGTGGGTGTGTGGGTGTGTGGGTGTGTGGGTGTGTGGGTGTGTGGGTGTGTGGGTGTGTGGGTGTGTGGGTGTGTGGGTGTGTGGGTGTGTGGGTGTGTGGGTGTGTGGGTGTGTGGTGTGTGGGTGTGTGGGTGTGTGGGTGTGTGGGTGTGTGGGTGTGTGGGTGTGTGGGTGTGTGGGTGTGTGGGTGTGTGGGTGTGTGGGTGTGTGGGTGTGTGGGTGTGTGGGTGTGTGGGTGTGTGTGTGTGTGTGTGTGTGTGTGTGTGGGCGTGCGGGTGTGTGGGCGTGTGACTACGTGTGTAAAGAGTCGGTGTGCAGGGGGGGGGGGGGGTTCGTCAGCTTTCTAGGCCTACGTTATCGGGCACGTTGGGCGACCACGCCCGAAGACCTCCAGACTTGGAACCTCAAATCCATGGAACCGACAACCCCCAAACCCCCCCCTGCCAAACATGCCACAGAAACTCTTCTAGGCACCTTTCCAGGACAAGGCGCCGATGATGGCCATCATGGCCAATCTTCCATTGTTGAGTTCGGCGTTGAGGCTCTTCGTCTTCTTCTCGGCATCCTGTTTAGGGGTTTATATGCACGCTCCGTGTTCTCGCTCCCCGCCGCCCGCCGCACCCCCCCCCCCTCTACCCCACCCTAAACCCACCGGGCGGAGGGATACCATGCGCGGGCCAAACGCTGGTGCGAAAATGGGTGCACATAGTGTTGTGCAAACTATATTCACTTGTATGGAGCTGGAAGCTGTTTCCAGTTCTGCAACCAAGTCTCCTCGATCTTTTTCCCGAATGGCAGTCCGAAGGCGCCATATCCTCCGGATGCCACGAAATGCCACGAAATGCCACGAAATGCCACGAAATGCCACGAAATGCCACGAAATGCCACGAAGTGCCACGAAGTGCCACGAAATGCCACGAAATGCCACGAAATGCCACGAAGCTGGAGCTTGTAGCTAGAAGCACGAAATGGCAGTATCAAGCCCGAGAGTCCGTAGTCACCCAGCACGTCGGTCTGGACCGTCTGGAGGTTGTACACCCTGCGGTTGTTGTTTTTGTGAGAAACACACAGGACCCTTGGTGATCCTTGTTGCGCTTCATGCCCTCAAGACCAAGAACTCCCCCCCAACAATCAAAAATCAGGCCCGCAAAGAAGCGCCAGATTCCAAGCGGACTGCCAAGCGAGGAAGGTTCACACGGCCCCAATACAGGACTCTCTTTCAAGGAGATTGGAGGGAAGCGAGAAATGCTGCAAGTCTGTCCGGGCTCTTGACTCTTGGGTCTAGCGTTTTGGGGCAACAGGCTGCCACCGGGCTTACAGGATGGACGAAGGCTCAATCTTGGACTCTTTGCTCGGCCCTTCGCGCCCAGTGCCCATCCAGGCTCTTGGGTCGGGATAAGGGTTTAGAGTTTAGGGTTTTGGGTTGAGGGTCTAGGGTTGAGGGTTTAGGGGTTTAGGGTTAGGGCTTAGGGTATTTAATTGGTATGTTATGAGAAGCATTTTGCGTCCGAGCAGCTCAATGATTCCCACCTGGCAGGCTTCTGCAGCTGGTGCAGACTGCTCGGAAACGTGGGTGCATAGCCGGATGGCGTTCAGCAATACATGCACAGTCATCAATGCAACAGTCAAAAAAACCCGGTGAGAAATGTCCCAGCCACCTGTTATTGTGGAGGGTAGAGGGCCGAGAGCTAGGAAACATCTAGAATCTAGATGCGTGAGGAAACAGAAAACCCACCCATATCTTCTTGGCTCACAAGGTGAACGGGGCCACCGAAACTCTCCGCAAGGAGACGCCTCGAAACCGCTCTACCACATCTCACGACCATCCAATGTTACAGCCCAGATCTACTCAACAGCCCGAAACGAAGATAGCAAGCGTGCCCCGCTTGCTGGGCGGTTTGCTGGGCTCAGGGGTCTCAAGAAGGACACGCCCTTCTCCTCTTTTGAGCCTCTCCCCGAATTGCAGAAAGGGAAAGCTTTTTGCAGGCCAGGGGACGAAAGTGACGATCTGGAGCCAGCCTTGCGAGGCCCAAGCCGGGAGTACAGAATCTCGTGAAGCCCTTTCTGAACCCTAACCGCTGCTTTAAGAAGTGCTCCTTGGTTTCGGAGCATACCCACAACACAACAACAGCGTCATCATACCAACAGCCACTCACGACTTCGCCCCTTTGCTCTTCAGAGTCTGCTTAAAACCCGGGTCCGAGCCAACCGTAATCAAAAAAAAGCCGCGCAGGACGAAGCTGAGCCTGCCAACGGCACGACAGCTGCGCCCTTGAGGCCGTTGGGGATGTCCTTAGACCATCTCACTTGAGGAGCGGCGTCCCTTCGAGGCGACGCTAGGTCTGCCAGGTTGGGATCAGGAGGTTTGTTCTTTAAACCTTTCATGGGACATTTCGGGCTCTCCAAGCTGGATTCAGTTCCCGTGACTCAGGGCTCATTTCTTTTGGGGCCGAAGGCTTTAGCATGTCACAAGACCTTTGCCAGACGCTGCCCACACAGAGCCTCTCTCTACCAGGCGTCGGTGAAGGACAAGCTCTGGGAGGGAGAGCAGAAGCCTGCACACTGCAGTTGGAAAAGATTGGAAAAGTACATTTAACGAGCCCCCTGGAGGGGCTAAGCCAGCAGCTAAGCCTTTGACCGCAGCGTTTGACCAGAAAGTGGGGGGCGGTTCCGGGGGCTGAATGCATGTCTTGGTCTTCACAGCAGCCTTCACTGCACGAAGATTCGGGCAATGGGCGGTGGGCAGAGATCAGAAGCATTCTCGGCTGAACCCGCTGCATCGAAGTTCCTTGCTGCACTCAACCCTCTGCACACCCTGCTTGTGAGGCTCCATACAACAAGGTTCAACATGAGGGTGATTGTGGCGGAAGGGTGCTTCAAACATGTTGGCCATCGATGCTCCGTGCGCAAAAAACTGCGACGGGCCTGGGAAGCGCGTATATTCTGGGACAATGTAGCCAATGCAAGCCAGCATGGCGACCTGTGCGATGCACAGCTGGACTGCCTCCCAAACTCAAACCCAGAGTCCCTCCAGATCCGCAACCCTTACCAGTAAAGCTTAGAACCTGGGTCCATCTCGGGTCAACTCTGCCGGCACCCTTCTGGGGATCTCGAAAGTTGCCCTTCAGGTTCAGACCTTCGATGTGTGCCACATTGCGGGAGTTTCTGAAACCTTTTCTGAGACACCACTGGCTTCCAAAAGCCCCCAAGTTGCCAACTCCAATCCTGCGACTTTGTTGGGCCTATGTTGGATTCTGATTCTGGGCCCCAAGCATGCTCCAAACAACCCACACACCTGTGACGGTACGGAACACTGTGTCCCACACCCGTCCGTGCTGGATCTCGATGATGCGGCGGCGCTTGAACTGCGCAGCGGCGACCTGGAGCAGGGAAAATTCGGAACTTTCGGAACTTTCGGAACTCAGGGTGCCAGATGCCAGATTTCTGCCAGAGGGGTTTGGGATTCCAGGCTTGAAGGGCGAAAAACTCAAGGTTGCCGTTGGAATCAAGCTTGAAGGTTCTTTCCTTGATGAACCGAGTCCGCTTGTAAGGAGCTGCAACCCGGGGGTCAGTCTTTTTGAGGAGGCAAGAGAGGCTTTGGAAGCCGAAAATTCGTTGACAATTTTCTGGGGACCCCCGGACGGCAGCAGTAAGCGCACAACAGGCAAACAGGGCTTTAGGGGTCCTGAGGCAAGCCTATACGTATTCAAGATGTCTGGCTTACGGTCGAATGCTCTCCGGCAGTTCTTCCTCAACGTTCGGTCACTTTCCGTACCGTGTATGTGGAAGTAATGGTTTGGTCATAGGCATGCACGGCGCTGTGCTGCCACGCCAGAAGCACAGGCAACCCTCTACCTATTTCCTCCACAGCTTTCTGAGCAGTGCTGTCACCCAGGGTCACGGCAAATCCCCAAGACACTCAGCCCCTCAGTCTTCAGATCATCGTGTCTCACACACACACACACACACAGAGACACAAACCGCAAGCCCTCAAACTGCGAAACACCTCCGGGTCGTCGAACTTGCTGAGGCCCAGCGGGTCGAAGAAGCCCAGCGGCGGCGTCACTCCCAGCTCCTCCAGGGCCATCTCCATTCTCACCCCCTTCCAATGCCTTCCAACCCCCTCCCCCTCTGGAGAAAGGTGCAGGGTTTAGGGTTTAGGGTTTAGGGTTCAGGGTTTAGGGTTTAGGGTTTAGGGTTCAGGGTTCAGGGTTCAGGGTTCAGGGTTCAGGGTTCAGGGTTCAGGGTTCAGGGTTCAGGGTCTCTGGTTTGCCCATTCTACTGCGACGGATGACTTGAGGCGCTCATTGGGGGATGTGGAGAGGGGGGGGGGGGCCCTTTAAGGCCGAAGGCAACAGACGCCGTTTGCAAGTTGCCATCGCATGCTCGGGGACAAGTCACATCTTAAGTCACAGCCAAGGGATGTCAAGGGCTTGTTGTGACACGCTGCAGCCCAACAACGAGTTTGTTCGCAAAGCCAACGGTTGGTGGTGATTCATTTCAACATCTTCCCGAATCCCACGTTTGTCAAGCTATCTTGTCAAAATCTCACATCCACTTGAGGACTCACAGCATGTCATCAGACACAGAAACAGATGACATGAGAACTGCTCTTCCGAATCATCTAGGACTTAGGCACTTCTAGGGCCACTGGGGATCGAGAAGGGAAGCACAGCGACTCGGGCTTCGGATGCTGTGAGTTCAAGCAGTTGGACACGAGGCGACAGTGGGAAAAAAAACGTTGCAGGCTCAGCGTGGTCGTCGAGAGCAGGTCTATGGGAGTTGCAGGCATGGCTTTCGGGATAGAAAGATGTGCATCTCCGCTAAGGTTCCTAGCAGGTCGCTCCAGCTGCTTTGCTACGGAGAAGACTCAGATTCCCTGTCTGCTCGTGGTGTGACTTCTGCTTGCATCTCCGCTGGAGTTTCGCTCGTCTCTCTGCCGGCCCAACACATCCCAAATCTCAAGCATCGAGAACCAAACAGCCCTATCATCGGATCGAAAACAAAAAAGCGCCGAAGACCTTACATGAAGCCAACCCATCTAACCCATACCCCGAGCTCCGTGGAGAAGTCCGGAGCAGTCGCGCGCAAGGGTGAGTCGGCGTAGTTGGCCCAGTCACCTCAAAAACTCACCAGAGTTTAAGAAGCCCAGCTCTGCCCTCAACTGAAACTCCCAGGATGGGTCAGGGAACCATGGTAGCAACCAAGCAGGGGACACGGTGCCACAGCCCAAAGCCGTGCCAACAAACGAACTTTGAGGTGCTCCAGGATGCTTTTAAGTGTGCAACTGCACAAGGCTGGGCCTCCTGTGGCACCTCTCATTCCGGATCGGAGAACCCGCATTCGGAGCTGCAGGATCCAAGGTTTGGGTTTTACGAAATATAGAAAGCTGAAAGGCAATCCAATCCTTTCCCTGTGGAGAGGAGCATTGCAAGCAGATGGGAGAGAATCACGTCAACCTCTGAGGGCGCGGAGAAACAAAGGGGGGTCCCTCAGGGTCTTTTGAGGAGGGCATGAGGGCCACCAAGAATCCCCAGGCGGATCCGGTCAGGCCGTCCTGGAAGAACATTCCTCAGTGCAACACTCTAGCAGGGGCACCTACTTCTTCGATTGCTGTCAGCTGCAAATTTTGAAAGCTGCTCAAACCTGCTTGCTTACTGCGCAAGCTTTCTGGCTCTGAGGAACATCCAGATCCCAAACTGATGGACTTTGGTCACAGAACTTCACAAAGAAGATGTACTCGACACCCCTTCGCGGCACGCCACAAAAGCTTTGACCCTAGTCCTGAACTGTCAATGCATTGTGACACAACGTTACGACGTTCACCGGTGTCTAGCGTTGGACAGTGCCGTGCCGAGCCAACCGCTCACAGAACGGGTCCGTCTTCCACGACAAGTTGCCGATGATGGCCATCATTGCCAGCCTGCCGTTGTTGATTTCGGCGTTGAGGCTCTTCGTCTTCTTCTCGGCATCCTGCAGGGAGTGCCAAAGGCATTGCCCCAAAGGCACTGCCCAAAGACACTACGAAAGTCTTGAGTCTTGGTTTGGAAAGGTATACGGTCACATGCCGCCATGGCCGCAAGCTTGTGACTCATTTTATGGGAGAAGTCGCCTTGGCTTTTTCAAGGTTTGGGATCTCAAATCTCCTCGATCTTCTTGCCGAAGGGGATGCCAAAGGCGCCGTAGCCTTGCTCAAAAAAACAGCTGCCAGATTACTTGGACAAGCGAGGTCTGAAAACTGCAGCTCAATAAAGGTGCAAAATCTTCGACAAAAGCAGCCGGTTTCATGGAAGTCTAGCAATGCACGTCCATACACATGTATATAGGTGGCCCGTGTGGCAGGTCTAGAGCTGAGGAGCTCAGATGACTTTAGAGCCTGTAATAAAAGGTTGGGGAACTCAGGCAAACATGGTTTGCAGCAAAGATGATCTAGGATGTGGGCCGGCCATCTTGCCAAGACCCCATGCATCGAGGACGCGAGCAGAGAGGAGAGTTGCAAGCGGCTTGTCCGGGCAGGCAGCTGGGGCACTCAAGTTTGCACAGAAGTGCTGTATGGACAGTGTCCAACAACATCCACACGCGTGCTCACAACGCGGCGAGATCGAGAGCATAGAGGCAGGGGCGGAGAGGGAAACGACTCGGAGATGACCATGGCTTTCTATTTTTCCATTCCTTGTTTGACGGTTAATTTGGGAGCGAGAGGAGGGAGAGGAGAGACAAGAGAGAGGAAAGAGAGAGATAGAGGGGGAGGAGAGACAGAGGAGGAGGAGGAGAGGAAGAGGAGGAGCGCTGGGAATTTTGACAAGCTCTGGGCTTGGAGACTGTCCAGTGGCGATGTGAACACCGCTTGCAAACAAGGACCCATGCTCCATTAGAAAAGACGGTGCCTCCCCCACTCGCCGGACATGCAGAGCACACCCATGACATGCCCTTGAAACATGGGCTTGGGCTCTTAAGGAGTGATGCGTCAACTGAGGTGTCTTGCCTCTGCGTCGAAGACAAAGCGAAAGAGGGAAAGGCGATGGGAGGCGATGGGAGGCGATGGGAGGCGATGAGAGGCGATGGGAAATCCGCAGGGGGTGGGATGCCGAATGGGCAGAACCTTGTCGGAATAGGCAGCAGAGCGTAGTTTCTGCAGCAAATCTGACTGCGGCATGCAGATATGCTTGCACTGCAAGCAGGCATCTTTGCTAGACATTTCTGCGTGAATCATGTGCATGTTCGTGCAAGTGCAGGTGGTCATGACTGCACACATGCAGATCACTGACGCAGGCTGGCTTGCACACACTAGACATGAGCAAAACAAACTTAAAAAGCCACTCGCTGAAACCCTGGATCCGGATCTGTAGAATGATAGAATGTGTAGGATCTCTAGAAGACGGAAAGATAACATAAAGAGAAACCGAAGAAAACACGTCGAACCCGCCGAGACGCCATAATCACCGAGGATGTCTGTCTGGATTGTCTGGAGGTTGTACACCCTGGCCAGCAAAAGATTTCCGGCTGCGCAAAGGTGGTGCACAAGGGCTGCATGTGGGTCCACGGCTTCTTGCTTGGGCATCTTTCAGGATGTAGAGTTTGGCTCTGGAGACCACCTTCCTAAGAAGCGGGGCCTAGCCCTGTGAGGTTTGTTGCATTTCGCTCGACATCGAATCGGCGACCTTGCTCTTGAACAAGTGTAGATGAGAATTGCAAATGCGCGCTCGGAAAAGAACCCTTTCTCTAGCGAAAGGCCTAAAAAGCCCCACAATCCCTGGCTACTGCGCAAGCAGGAATTCGGAAAGCTGAGCAGCTCGATGATGCCGACCTCAGACTGCTACATGTGCAGCTGCGCACATTACACAAAGGCAGAGAAGCTCCATACGAGCACTACGAGAAGAGGGCAAGTAGGTAAAGTCACAAAAGAAAGCCTGATCCTAGCAAGCTCTTCTCAGGAGGGAAGAACAGTATGCCACACTCAGTGACTGCGGTTCCCGATGGCTCACGCACACACACACACACACACACACACACACACACACACACACACACAATGTTGCCCCGCATGTGCCCCAGGTGTGCCCCAGAGGTGCCCAGATCTGCTCCCCCCCAGGGCCCGCACGAAAGTCACGATCTGGAGCCATCCTCCAAGTGCACCCAAAGCAACCAAAGCTGCACACAACTAGGGCTCTCGATATACTTTGATTCCTGGGGCTCTTCGCACTCCAAGGAGTCTCGGGTGTTGTAGAACTTGATTTCCGGGAAGGGAGCATGATGATCAGCTACCCGTTTACGATAGGCTCAAAGTTGGGGCCTTGGGCTATAAATACTTTATTTATGGGTGGAAGGTGTGGGGGGTGAGGTTGGCAAGTACGGACCTCTGTATGGCACAGAACCGCCTGAGGATAATACACAGTGATAGAGCCCACCGTTGGCAAGATGTCGCTGACAAGTAGACCTTTTTCCAAAAACTACCAAGAGTCCTGCCAGGGGCACCGCCGCCGCGCCCTTGAGGCCGTTGGGGATGTCCTCATGTTCGGCTGCTTTCTTGGTTTGCTAAAACCTCCAACACTCCACCGCGCCCCCAAGTCCTCAGAGTGTCAGGCTTCAAGGCATGCTCCCAAACCCCTTAAGTTCAACCTAAACACTAAACCCTAAACCCTAAACCCTAAACACAAAAGGAAGGACCACTGATGACAAGACCTCGATGCGGGGCCCTACCGATACCCCAGACGCACCCAAATGCCCTGCCAACTTGGAGGCCACCGTCTTGACCCAAACGCATCGCACGCCAAGCATCTGTGAAGGCCAGGCTTTGGGAAGGAGAGCAGAATCCTGGGGATCACTAGGGTCCCAGATCCTTCCCGCAATCGGCAGACTTCCGCATCCATGACAAGCGGGGTTCCAAACCGTGCCCTCGGCCTTGCTAGATCCCAGGAAACGAAACTCCCAGCCCCAGGGCCTGCTTCGACCTGGAGAATACAGACCACATACCCATCTTATCTCGTCTGTCAGCAGTCTGTAAGCTCTCCTTCCGATGTGCCTTGTCCTGGTTGTGACAGCTACATGGCTTTCGAGTGTGGAGAAATGTCAGCAGGTTTCAACAGGTTCTGCCTGGAAAGCGCACGTACTCAGGCGTGATGTACCCGAGGCATGCCAACATGGCCACCTGGGCATTGTGCTGCTCACATGGGTCAAACCTAAAACAAATGCTGGAGGACCTGAGGGTGGGGCGTGGGCTTGGGGTACCTGTGATCAACGTAGTTGCTCAACAAACGCTGAAAAGGGAACAGCAAATTTGGAGCTGTCCGTGCAGTGAGACCTAGGGATACGAAGCTTGCCAAATCGAACCACACGTCCCACCCCACACACACAGGACAGACAGCCAAGGTCTCTGCTCGGCCGTGCTGCAGCTCGACGATCCGCCTTCGGCGGAACTGCTGCGCAGCAATCTGCGCCAGGGCAGCTTCAGGCAACTCGTCTTGAGTCAATGAGGCCTTAGACCCTAGTTCACTGGGCCTTCACAAGTTTTGCCATGATAGTTCCGGTTTCCAGAGGAGCATGGCCGTTTCTTGCTTGGAGGGCATCTCGAGCTGCTCAGCAATACTTCTGCCGTTGACTGGTGGTCGGAACCAAGCGCCCCCGGTGCCATTTGTTCTCTTTGCGGGTCATCTGATATAAGTTGAGCTACCAGTGCTACTACTGCTACAACAAGCCGGGTCCTTCTGCCAAAGCTGGTGAGCTTCAGTTGGCGGACTTAGGTGGGATCTGGGTCGAAAATCGGCTGTCCAGGTTTTCAACAACGCAAAAGAACCCTCAACTCTAAAGCATCATGGAAAGACCTCAAGCATCTTGAAACGAGTCCCCACCCTGAAACCCTTCATCTGGAACCTCAGCGACCAGAACACGAGAGTAGAGGACTGTTTTCGTGTCCACCTTGCCCCTACCCAAACTTCCAGATCTGGGAGATTACCTGAACCCTAGTCAGAAATATATCCTGTAGGGGGCAGAACCATGAAGCCGCAAACGACGCTGAAACCCAAATCGATCTGTATGCTGCACAATGCACCCAAATACGCCCAAGCCCCAGCCTCAGGGTCGTCGAACTTGCTAAGGCCCAAAGGGTCCCAGAAGCCCAAGGGCGGTGTGACACCAAGCTCCTACGAATTTGGAGAGTCTGGCAGCACTTTAAACGTCTAGGGATGACTTTTGCTGGCATACATTGATCTCCGGCTTTAGGCTGTTGGGGCGCAACGAACGATGTAACAGTTTCAGGATTGGCCCGATTGCCCCCTTCAATTCAGGAGATTCGCATCAAAATCTCAAAATCGTGCACCTTTCCATCGTTGGCTTGAGAGAAGCTGAGGGAGTTTCTCTTACTGCCCAGCTTAAAGCTTTGTTTTTCTCTGACGGTTCAAAACCTGTTCAATTCTCATGCCCGCAGCCCAGCCCTCGTTGCAAGCTTCCCCTCTCAGAAGAACAGGGCTGTCCGTGCTGAAGTCGGGAGCAGCGGCGCGGAGCGGGGACTCCGTGAAGTTGGCCCAGTCGCCTCCGCTCATGGACGCTTGTTTAAATGACAGCTTTCACCATTCTCTCAGTCCTCGCCCGACTGGGATCGGTGCTTGGGGTTCTCCTTCGACGCATGCACAGCTTGACGGCGGGACATTCACAAAGGTCTTCCACTTTACATCAGCCATCATGGTCGCCATGGTCTACTCGCTACAGCCGCTGCAGGCAGCACCAGAGCCCCCAAGAGCCCCCAATTATTTAAAAAAAGCGCGCTTCAGGGCATGGGGTCTCGGGAATCGGGTGCCCGGCTCACTGAGGCTCCGTCCGCAACTCACCCCAAAGCCCCAGAGCCCCAGAGCCCCAGAGCCCCAGAGCCCCAGAGCCCCAAAGCCCCAAAGCCCCAAAGCCCCAGAGCCCCAGAGCCCGGGAGCCCCAGAGCCCCAAGCCTAACCCCATACCTTCTTGCCAGGCTGGGGCTGAAGCTTGCTCGCCGCTCTCTTTGCTGCAAGAGCCGAGGGAGTCGCAGGACTCCCTAAGTTCAGCCAAGCCGCCCCAGGCAGAGCCGGTAAGGCCGTCCTGGTAGAACCTGAGCTTCTAAACTCTGTTTGGGATGCTGAAGGATGTTTGAAGGATGCTGAAGGTCTAGGGCGCGGGTCTTGTAGGGCAGCTACATTGCCGCTACATGCAAGTGGTCCAGATTTGCGCCAAGCCGTGTTGGACACTGGACTCCATCTCAAGCTCCAGCTCTGAAACCCTCAACCTAACAGATCTACCAAACTCCATACGTCGGGGTTTTTCTTCAGGAGCGAGCTTGGGCTTCTGGGTGCCGTGGTTTCGGTTCAGACACCCTACGCACACTACTTGCAGCCCATGGCGGGCTTTGGGCTCATGTACCAAAGCACGCAGCCGAGGCTGCAGGGAGTCTTGCAGTGGTGGCGTTGGCAGTTGGACTTGCTGAGCAGAGACCACAAAGCAACTTCACGAAGACGAGGCACATGCCGATGATGGCCATCATCGCAAGACGACCATTTGCCAACTCCGCATTGAGCTTCTTGTTCTTCGCCTTCCAGCACTTGGTTTCAGCCATCACTTCGTTTTGGGCGGCAGGCAGTCGAGATGTTCAGATGCTTCGTATTCGGGCGCCCCCGCCTTCAAATCACAAGTCACCCCACAGCAAGGAATAACCCTGTACGCAGCACACAGTCACTCAACACCTCCCCGTGCATGATTTAGGTACTGATTCCATGGGCAAGTTCTTAAGTGAGCTTAAGTATTGACACGAACGAGCTAAGGATCCTAAACACGAACCTGAGAACCACACATGATAGGACTCCGAATGAACTAATGGCATCTGCAGCCAAGATGGGAAAGAAGTAGCAAAACATCAACTTCTCTTTCTTCGGCAATCAGTCCTCGGGGTCCTCGCTTGTGAGGACCTGGCATCGGTTGGGCTTAGAGGCGCCGGAGATTTTGAGGCATTCGGGTAAAGGTCGTTCGGGAAGGGTCTAGGAGCTGTGGTGTTAACGTCAACGCTGCTTTCCGAAGGCAAATTCTGCCGTCAGGGCGGTCGAGTTTAACAGGGCCTTAACTCGCACAACTTTGGCGAAATCGATGTAGTGTGTATTTTTTTGAGACTGTGACCTAATAATAATGCCTTTGAGGAACCACCAATCGGCCAAGCACCGTGGTAGTAGCTTCCTGAAAAGCTTCTGAGGATCCGTAACCGGATCTTTTCTGGTAAAGGATTAGGCCACATCTAAAGCTGCCACAAGCTGCTGACCCCACAGCAATAGAAATGCCATAGAAACCACAGAGAGGTGATGTCAGTGATGTGAGATCTGGTCATCTGCCTCTGGGCATCTCTGGGTTCCCGTTCTATGCCTCTTCTCTTTGAGCTGAAACAAGGCCTCGAAGGCTTGTGTGGAGATACAAACACTCAAACCCTCACCCCTGGGAAAGCAAGCCAGGCCCCGGACGTACCAGCCGAAATCACCAGGGCGGCCGCTGGCAATGTCAGAGCCTCCGTTTCTCGTCTTTTGGGGTTTTTGGGCTTGCGGGGGTTCCGCATGTACCCTACGTCAGCGTTCCACATTGAGTGCCTCGCCTGGATTGTTCGAGAGGAAAAAGCATGCTAAGCACCCAAGACGTGTGGATCGTGGATTCAGGGCTTCGGCGCGCCTGCTCCGCGAGAGACCTCGCACCAACCCATGTAGAACCTCGACTGTCTTTGCAGGAATCGGCAAGCAGCAGCAGGGCTGATGAAGAGAAGCAAAACCAGATTCATGAAGCCCTTTTATCCCCCCGCGAGCGCCAACGAAGAAATGAGTGTTTACAGCACAGCTGAGCAGCAGGATCTGCGTCCAGCCGCCCGCAGGCACCTCAGGGAAGTACGTAGTGGGGGGTTGCAAACCAATACGAGACACTTCCTTGCTTCCTTTGAACCGGCTTCTCTTGGGTGCGCTCCTTTCCTTTACGGGGAGGCTGTGGAACGTTGCCCCCGTTGTGGGAGCGGAGTTGGCTTTGCGGCCCAGCACTTCGGAGTTCAATTGGCCCCTGTGGGGCACAGCTTCGAGAGCACCAGGCTACACTTTGGAGGACTTGCGGCTCCGGGTTGTTGCGGTGTTGCTAAGAACCGCCCGGACTCATGATTCCTGGTTCTCCCACCTTGGAGATGGCCGCGAGGCCGTTGGGCACGTCGGCGAACTTGAGCCCCAGGCTCGGGGACAGGTAGCCTGTCCCAGATCTCATCCACCCGGATCCCCAAACCCCCTTAACCCTCTTTGGGGCCCTTTGGGGGGCCCTGAGCCGGTCAGCACACCTACATGTCTTGTTCGATCGCTAGCGTTCACCTAGGGGACCTGTGGGACCTAATATGGGATCCATGGAACCTACGATAACCTGCGTGAACCTACGGGTGCACAAGCATGCTGGGTCCCGGTGCTTTGACATGGGTCCTTGTTGGACTGGAAAGCATAGATCTGTGCATGTTGCTGTTGAGACGTCAACAACCGAAGGCCTTGTCTGCATGCTGGTGAGCTGATTTGAGAACAAGAAGGCCCATACCCTCCCAGCCCTAAACCCTGAATCCCACACGTCCCACCTGGGAACTTTCCAGCGATCTCTGGGGTAATGTAGCCTTGGCTCTTCACACCATTATTCAGAGTCGCACAACTGAGCAAATTAGCACCTGAGAAGACACTCAGCCGCGAAGCCCGACACAACCTTCACTGAAGACATCCTCTCAAGACCCTGAAGACTTTAAGGACAACCGCACATCGAGATTGCAAAAGCGGCGGCCTACACCTCCTCTCTCCCGAGTTCAGCACGACGACTCTTTCACATAACTTTGCAGCAAAACAAACCGTCCCCAGCGTTTTCGAAAAACGTAGAGGGGTTACTCAGAAACCGTGGAGGACGAGTCAGAAAAACACAAAGGACCGAAATAGCCGCAGACACGTGCCGCGAAAGGACAGGTAACTCAGTCGAAGATTCGTTCTCGAAGGCTCCAATCCGAAAACGCGAAGGTATCAGCCGGAAAAGGTGCCAGCACAGTTCGAAGAGGATCAGCTGAACCTCTTCGCACTGACAATGCGAAAGCGCAACAAGGTCGAACGCAACCACGACCGGATCTGAAGCGAGATTTCTTTTTCAGAGCCTTAGAGATCTCGGAGAGAGCGCGCGGGTCTAAACGGACCATGGCTAACACGTCTTCCCACTGAGGCTTTGTTTTCTGACTTGGTTTTCAGATCGGGGCCCGGCTGCTTGCGGCTCTGGTCCTGTGCGTTCTCCGACTCAGCCTTTGCGTTTTCCGACTCGGCCCGACCGTTGTATGGGAAATGTTTTGCTGGATCAGCCTGACGTTTTCTGACCAGCGCTGCTCCCCTTGCCGTGCGACATCGTGCGACTGACATCGGCCTGCTGGAGCCAAGAGGTATGGCATGAACAGATGAAATCAACGGTCACATACCAGCAACATTTGCACCAACATTCCAAGAGAACCCGAACCTCCCCAAGAACCCTGGAATGCATCGAAGATCAAAGCAAGACACCCATGGTTGCCAGCATCGCGATGCGACCATGCTTGAGCTCGACGGAGCGCCTGGAGCCACAGATCTCTTCCTCCCAACCCCTACAGCCCGAACCTGTCACTTTGTGTGGCCGTGGCTCTTTAAGGCCCCCACAGAAGCCAAAGCCCCACCGAAAGAAGCCCCCAAAAAGAACTAAGACCCTAATCCCATCCATCGCCTAAGACTGCCTTCCCAGCCCCCCCCCCCTTCGCCTGCGCATGAAAGTGTCCACATCGCCATCACGGGCAAGGCCCAGCCTGGTGCGCAGAAGCAAAATTACGACAAATCAACGTCTGTTTTTTTTTTCCAGGGGTGTTCGAGTCTAGTCGTTGTTTGTGGTTTGCTCGTTTTGTCGTTTTGACCTGTTCCCTCAGGAGTTTAGAGGTTTGTGTTTAGTTGAGTCTTAGAGCTCGAGGCTCTTCACGCCTCTGAACCCTAGAAAGGTGAAGGAAACTCCAATGGTCCAAGCAGGCCTCAACTAACGAAATGACGACAGCAGCGGAGCAACACCACGCACAAGCTACAGTAAAACCAATGCAAACACGCAAGAAAAACACGGAAGCAACGACTGCCATAGGACGCTGAAACTAAATCCGCTACATCCCCGAACCGCGGCCAGGCGGACGGGTCCCAGAATCCCACAGGAGGCTGCACGCCAAGCTCCTGGCTGGATTCTGCAAGTGTTGGGCTTTAGGAACTACAACGTTTTGTTTGCGAATATGAATATGTGTGTTTTGGCCCCTTCTTGCGCTTCGGAACTCGGCCAAGTGCCGAAGGTGTGCTTCCACATTTCCCAGGGCCCGGAAGTTAAAGATTCAGAGCTGACGCGCGCCAAAGCCACGTAGAGCCGCTTTTGGGGGTCCACTTTGAATCGGCGCCCTGGCCCTAAGCTGATCATATTGAAAGCCTATAGGGCTACTCTCAAAGCGCCTGTGGTCCTCACCTGGTCTGGGTCCACTCCCTACAACTACGGAACTACGCGCCAATCCCGCCCCCCAAGCAAAGACCGGGACTCCTGCTCGAAAGCCTTCGATGCAAAGAGTGGGGTCGAGTTGGCGTGTTTTGGGCTTTAGTTTGGGGTTCTTTTCACTGCAAATGCTTCCGGGTTTTGGTTTTGGGTTAGGGAGAGCTTGCAGGAGTGTCCACCGCTCAAAGGTGCACCAGAAAGAAACAAGTCGGCAACGCTCTCGAGAGATCGACTCTGATAAATGCATCCCAATCTCAAAAAACTGCACGATTCACAACACCGGAAGCCAAACCAGGAGACACCCCACTGTCGATTCCAAATGGTGACGCAAAAGTAGTTCCCGTACCGAGTCCCCCATGACATCCGGACGCATGCGGCCTACCGCCTCAAATCTTGGGGGCCGGAGCTGCCACGAAAGCTCCATCCCAACACCCTGGATCCGCAACGCCCAATAATTACCCAAACAGCGAATACACCCGGAGAGTTTCAGTGTGAGGCAGGTGGCCCGAAGTGGAGACTCGGTGAAGTTGGCCCAGTCACCTTGGGTGCTTGGGCAGTTCGGTCTGGGGTCACACTTGCAACCTGCGGCTTTCTGTGCACAACTTCAGGTTCTCGGCCCAGGGATTCCAGGGTTTGGGCTTGAGTCCATGTCTCGAAGAAGGGGCCAGAAAGCTCAAAGGAACTGGGGGGCAACCAGCAGGGCCTTTGCGCAACCTGGTCCAGAGAAGAAGCTGCACTTTCGGGGTGCCATTCCTGTTGCGCTCTTGTTCCGCTGAGTCGCCCCAGGCGGAGCCGGTCAGGCCGTCCTGGTAGAACCTCTCAAGCGGCTTATCAACTTGGTTTCGTCGTAACGCTGTTGCAAGGCATGTAAGGCTTGTGATGATGTTGTTCTGGGCCTCCCAGGCCTGAAAGATTTAGCTTCTCAGGAGTTTGGCACTGCGGGAATCATGAGGTTTTGGGCTGCTGCGGCTTCGTCCTTCGAGTCTACAGTCAAGCCTTCGGGGCCAGACCTTGGCACTACTTTGGCACTATTGAGGCGTCAGGATGAAAAAACAAATCACATCTCCAGCTTCCATAGTTTGCGAACAGCTTGTGCCCCGCGGACGGACAAGAGGATGCCTCCTCGTTGGAGGTCGTAAGCTTAGACTTCTCGGAGACATGAACCAAATAGAATGAAACACTTTGTAAGCACATCAGAAACAATGCACAAATGATGTAAACAGAAAGAGAGATTGCAGCCTAAATTGTGAACTGGATGCCGTAACCCAGCCAAAAGAGCCAAAACTGCACAAGCACCACCCTCGCGAGACCAGGCACATGCCAATGATGGCCATCATGGCAAGACGACCGTTTGCCAACTCCGCGTTGAGCTTTTTGTTCTTCGCCTCAGAAAGTAACAAAGAGCCTGCCATGTCATGGGAAACTTCGGCAGTTTCAGGCGAAGGTTTCAGGGCATAAGGTTTGGAGATGCGGCCTCGGCTACGAGACAAGCGGATCGGGGCCCAGAACCCCCCAAGCCCCCCTACCACGGCAACTGACCACAACTTGCGATGCCTCGGGGTCTGCGCTCGTCAGCACCTTCCAGGTGGGTTTGGCCTACGAGGGCCCTCTTACGTCTTAAAGGGGGAGGGGAGGCGAAGCCGAGAATCCTACTACGTCTTTTGTGTAATTGCTCTTTTTCGACGTAAGTATGCTTTGAGAAGTGGGGCTCGCAGCACCGTGGTACGTCCAAACCTCCCCAAGCCATCGGCGAAATCCGCGGGAGCTCCCTGAGTTCTAGGAGACCTTTGTCCGAAACCCTACAAAACATCCCGGGAAAATCCCCAGAAGACTCAAAAAAAAAACTCTCAGGGCCCAGGCATACCAGCCGAAATCGCCAGGGCGGCCGCTAGCGATGTCGGAGCCTCCAAACAGCGCAAATTCAAGAAGACTCGGGTTTTGAGAAGGCAACAGTGTCGCGCAAGCCTCATATGGGAAGCCTTGGAAATTCAAGCCCTAAACGGCCCGTAGCCTTCAACCAGGGGTGTAAAGCTCGAAACTCTAAGGGTTTTAGAGCCTTAGAGCCCAAAGTCCTGAAGACCCCCAGGCTTCAGATTCGAAAGGAACTTGTGATGCAGACTGAGGCTGAGGACATGACGAAGGGCATGGGGCTTAAGCCCCACAGCAAAAAAGGTACATGACATGATCTACACAAAGGTCCCGGATCGCTTCTTGTTGCCGAGAGCCCTGCCAAACTCCGAAGCAGCTCACAGCCCAAGCCCCACCCCCGACCCATTCCGAGCCACTGTGCTCGCAAGCCTCAAAAGTCTGACATCATTGTGTCTGAAGCCGAGCTTTAGGGCTTCGAATCTGGTTCCCTTCTTGGCTACACGACCAGCCTGCTCCGCGAGAAACCTCGCACCAGCCCATGTACAGCCTTAGAGGTTTCGTTCTTGAATTCAAAGGATATCAATCTGTTCACCTGACTTGCAGCATTCGAAAAAACTTCAGCAAGGGGCTCAGATGGTCAGCCCCCTACACCAAATCCGTGAAGTGCTTGCCGCTGTTACACAGAAGTGCGAGCGTATGCTCAGCCAGAACTATTGTCAGGTGTGGCAAACCTCAGAAGGGAGTCTGACAACGTCCGAGTTCAAGTGCCTGAGCCACCCCCATTCGTCGTGAAGGGTCAAGGCTTGGAGGCTGGCACTGTGCACTACTGGTACCAAGAGCCGGCCACTAGGCTCTAGGGACGCGATGACACAAGCCAAGCTGCAGGATCTGGGTCCAGCCCCCGCCAGGCACCTCCGAAAGCTTTCGGCTTGCGCCCCAGGGGAGGATTTTGCGAATACTTGAAAGGCGAACCTTTTGTACACGAAGCGTAGTGCTTTCGGCATTTTCGGCCCCAAGCCGCCCTGCCCAAATCCGCCTTGGAGAGGGCTGCAAGACCGTTGGGCACGTCGGCAAACTTCAGGCCCAAGCTCGGAGAAAGGTAGCCTGTCAGGCTGATTGTCAGTGCTTTGGAGAGCTCTTGCCATCTGTACCAGAACAGAAGAACGCTTCTCGCCTACAAGATTCCTCGGAAATAAATCGCCCCTACACAACCAACACAACCAACACACACACACACACACACACACACACAAATATTGGTGGCCTTCTAGCCTCGGTGTCGCTCCACAAAAAACTGGTCGGTTGGATAGATCCAACCCTCAAACAGGTTCGGTTTGACCCTTGTCCCTCGGTATGCGCCTTATTTTGAGGTCGCTTCTTGGAAGTGCGCACTTCTTCAAGTTGTCTTTGGGAGGGCTCTCAAAGCTCTTCAAGCAGATTCAAGCTTTTCAGGCTTGACAACCGAACGCCATCACTGAAAGGTCGACCTGGGCCCTGAAGCCCAATTGCCTGGGAACTTTCCCGCGATCTCGGGCGTGATGTAGCCTGGAGAGGGGATCCGGAGGGGATTGGCGGTCAGGCTGAGTCTTGAACCTCCTAAAGCGTTCAGAAAGGAACCTTGGGCAGTCGGTGACATGGCGTGACGATCAAAAGCGCTTGGGGGGTTACGGCTCGGGGGCACGAGAAGTTCACGGAGAGATTTAGGTGAGCGAACCACACTGAACCAGCTTGGCTCGACCCTACTTCTCTTGGTGAGCTTCGGGTTGGCTTCAGGATCGTCGGGGCTGAGTGCCGAAGACAAGCCGAGACCGCGAACCTGAAACCCAACTTTCACCCGACATGTCGAAAGTGTTCAGCATGGGCCATAACAACTTGGGATACTGGTGCTAAGATCCAAGATTGGGAGACTGGTGCTGTTCTGAGCTCTAAGATTTAATAAAGACTGAGACGACCCAAATGCGAACCAACTCTGAACCCCAGTGGCCCATGGTTGCCAGCATCGCGATGCGGCCGTGCTTCAGCTCCACGGAACGCCTCAGATTGCTTTAGAGCCAAACTCATGGTTCGCAGGGGGTCCTCGGAATATCTCGGAATCCTTCGGGCCCGTTCTCATCGCATGACTTCAGCTTTGGGTGATTTAGGGGATTTAGTGTCTAGAGACTGTCTCGAACCTAGATAATGACAACAAACAACTGCCAGGCTTGCCAAACCTTCTGGGGCTCATGTAACAATGTAACCCAAACACTGCGCAGTTTAACTGGTCTAATTAGGGGCCTAAGGAGGGGGGGGGGGGGCGTGTTTCCGCCCCGGTGCCTTCGCATGAAATTCTCCACGTCGCCATCACGGGAGAGGCCCAGCCTCCGCTCCAAGCGGAATCCGTGTCAAAAAGGCACAGAAAAAAGGAGAGGGTCTCTCGTCTAAGTTGTTTCCTGCTTCCTCCTCAAAGTTGTTGTTGTGCTTTTTTATGTTTCGGGGCCTCGACAACCCCGGTGCGTGCGCCGGGACTCATGCATGTTTTCCGAAAAAATTCTTACTGGTTGCTCGTATGTTGTCCTATGATCTTTCTACTGCCCTTGGCAGGCTACCCCAAACGGAAAAGAGTAGCAGAAAAGACTGGAAAAACTTGGATTTGTCCCCATGCTGGCCTACCTCGCAATATGTCTAAAGCAGCAAAGGACCGGAAAAACAGGATTGAAAAACAGTGGAACGGAAAAATGAAAAATATAAGAGAGGCCCACACTGGGCTACCAAACGCAAGACAATTGGAGGGTGGGGCTTGTGCAATTTAGTGTACAAACTAAGAAGTGAGATAACTAATGTTAATAATGTCCTGCCCCGCTTTAAGCCTCCCACTAGTTTGGACACACTCGTCGCTTGGGTTTTAGTCCCTGTTTCCGAAATTTGTTGGTAATTCCGGTCTGCACACGTCGGTAAACCAACTTTCAACATTCTTGTGCAATTGGAAGCACAACCCTAAACGGCCCTAAACACCCGAAAGCCCAAGCAGAAGTCTCAAGCGCCAAGAAGCGGATCCCAGAATCCGACGGGAGGCTGCACGCCAAGCTCCTGTTCAACGAAAGGGGCGCAGGCTGGAGGATGAATCCGGAGATATCTATTCCCTTCAGCCCCGAACTGCCATCCTCAGCTACCCTCACTTGCCCTCAACTGCCATCAGGTTCTGTTGAAGAGCCACGAAACTGCCCTTCCCCTGCTCCTGCTCAAAGGCACGGAGGGCTGTGGTGAACTTGGAGGAGGAGGCCTCCAAAAGCCAAGGGTTCAGGGGGAAGGAGGGGGCAAGGGGGAGCTGAGGATCTGGTGGGCTTGGTTGGTGCTTCAAGGTCTGCAACCCTCAATCCTCAAACAACACCCCAAGCATGTTTAAGGTACCTCAAGTTTGCCTATGGCTACATGGTGACTCCCAGGAACTTAATTTTGTCCAGTGCATCTGCGTAAAGCTGCATGTGACTTCACTCAGGCTCTCTGCCATCTTTTTCTGGGTCTTCTCCCACTGGATTGTCCAGTGCTGTTTCTACCAAGAAGTTTCAAACTCAGCCGAAGTAATGAAATTGTTAGTGCCGGGCTGAGTGAATCATGAGGCTCTGCCTGACCCAAAGCCACATCTAGAAAGCCTGATGGTTGCACCCCTGCTCTGCCTGCGCCTTCCTCACCTGCAGGCGGGGCTCAGATGAAAGTATGTGGCAGCTTTGAAAGCATCGGGAGCAGTACGTTGGCATGTCCTTCAAATCCCCAGCCAAGTCCGGTGGTTCGCTCATGCAAAGGAAGCTTTACCCAGTGTGCTACGTGTCGGCGTAGTCGTTGTCAGGGGGCACAGCGTTGCACAGCTGGGCTTTTGCGTCTGCAAGTGTTGCTAAGGGTCTAAGGTGGCAGAGAAGCTACGCGCAGCAATCCCACATCCTCGCAATAGCCACTCACGGGCCCATGGGCCTTGAAACCCCGTTGTAGAAGTCCGAAACCCTACGTTGATGAAGCTGATGAAGGGCGTAACTGTCGTGCTTCGAGCCAAGGCAGCTGAACCCCTCGCTGTCTTCAACGTGACGCCGATCTGAATCCCGTCTGAAACTGCCAAAGCAAAGAACAAAAAAGCTGTTCGACAAATAAGCCAGTTCAACAATTGAAACAGCCTGGCTGGCGAGCACGGCGCCCGCTGCCGCGACGCAGCCGGCTGCTGCAGTGGGTGCCGCGCTACTAGGCTGCGCGGACTGAGCAAGGCAGGAGGAGGCCGCAGGGGGACTGCAGCAAAGCGTGTGGCCCACCAGGTTTGGAAGCTTTCCAGTTCTTTGAACTTTCTAGGCTGACATCTTCAGGGAAGGCTTAGGACACAACTCCAACTTGCATCTCACTAGCTACACTAAATCATTCCATATCTCGAGCTTGCTCCTGCTGCTTACAAGTGAAAATCCCCAACATAATTGTAGGGCATCGGGGTGAACAGTTGGGAAGTGCGACAGAACCAGAACACCAAAGCGGCACAATGCACGGCACCTGCCTGATTCCCTCGCCGGAGCGAAGTCGTCGGAGCGCTTGGCGCCGTGGTGGGCGCCGTGTTGGGCCCGAGGAAGGCCGCGCCTGGGGGAGAAAGGATCTGGAGCTTTGGGAGCCCAACCCAAACTCAGCCTCAACATGCAGGGCCCCAAAGAGGAGACCCTAACATAGACCCCCAAATAGTTGGATCCCTTGATAGCAAGGACCCCAATAAGGTACCCCTCATATCGTATAAACCCCCCATACCTTCGGAGAGCACTACTGTACCAAAGGAGGAGGAGGGGCCCCCCCAAAAGCCTCCCATGGCGCCAGCGAGGCCGAGGCCGCTGATGGCCATCTGAGCGCAGAGGCGAATCAACACCAGATCAGGACCACAACTCTCTGAGAGAGAGAGAGGGGGGGCGTTTGCTGTTTTGTACATATGGTTTTGGAAAAAGACATGTTTCAGAGGAAACTTTCTTCGGGAATCTTGTCTGGTACTTTTTTGGGAAATGCAGGATGTTGGCACAATTCTTGGCCACATGTTCCTTCCGACGTTTATTGTTTCGGGCGGGGTTAGGGCCTAGATTCCAGGCCTTGGGGCTGCGGGGGCTTCGAGACAAGGTGCGGGAACTAGGGACTGCGGGAGGGGGGGGAGGTGAGAACCAACGCCAAAAAATTTGGTTCTTCTTGAAGAATGTGAGCGTTCGGGCTTCAACCGAGCATCCCAGAACCTCCAGCGAAGGCATTGGCGACAAGCAAGCGCCGACGACAACACGTAGTCAGGTAACGTGCACCACTCACCACCCAAGACCTGAGATTGGAGCCTGGCAGAGAAACCAACAAGTTTGCGCGCCTTCTTGCTGGAGGGCATCGCTGTTCTTTTCGGCGGTCCTAAATAAGCACAGGGGTGTTCCCTTTTCTTTGCCTCCTCGCCGAAGGGAGTCCTGTGGGCTGCTAAGCTCGAGCGCGCCACAGCTGCGGAGAAATATGTGCTGAGGTGTCCCATGAACACCAAGAAATCTCCACAACAAAGGCTAGGCAGGATTGCGCCCAGAACAAAGATTCCTAGAATAGTTTTGCACTTGATGTTGTGTCGGGGCCTTCTGTAAAGTCAAGCTCTCCAACTTAGGATCAATGGGGATCACCCTGCTTTTGAGTTCGTGTTGAGGCCTGTTTTGCTGTGAGGATTCTTGGGGGATGGGTTAAGGTGCCGTTTCTCCTTTGGCTGCTCAAAGCGCAGAAACTCCAAAAACCTTCCAAAAGACTTCAAAAACTTTGACCCTCCCCTCATCCTGTCGCAATCCTGGGAAGCTTTCGGAATCCCTAGAAGCGCTGTCGCATGCACTTCCAGTGACTTCCATGCTGGGCCTAGGCGTCTGCGAGTTTGGATAGTTAGGAACTGGGCCACCAGAGAATCTAGAAGCGTACCGGCGGTTCACTGTTGCAACTGCGGCTAGAGGCGGCTAGATACTGGAAGTAAGAGCTGGGGAATCAGACTGTCAGACAACCGAAACACCCAACACCAGAAGCAGCAACCACGCCGTAATACACCTGCCCGCCCTCGGCCAGGAGATCCTCCTCTGCATGTTCCACCTTTACACATCCGGGCAAATACAATAAGCTGGTGCTTGTGCCCCTTTTCTGTTGGGCTGCCTGGTTTCGGGGGGGGGGGGGGGGGGGGGGGCGGGGTGTTGCTGCAGATTTGCGCATTTCATGCTCGACAGGCTGGCCTCAAAGTCCACTGCATTCAAGCTATAAAAGCTGCAACGTTTCCAAATGTTGGCAACAGCTCCACTTTGTTGTTCATGACAGCGAAGAGCTGCTAATTGTATTCGACAGCACCAGATGCTGTGGATTACAGGCTGTCGCGTTGTTCGACAGCGCTAGACAAAGCAGGAGGCTGGGCGTTGCAACAGTTTTCTGCCCAGCACGCTGTAGAGCTGGTTCGACTTAACAGGTGATCAGGAGCCCAAAGGCGCAGGCACTGTCCCAACCCCCAGGTCAATGTTAACGAACATCTCAGTTCAATGACAATGCAAGGAACATTCGGTGAGATAAACTCACCTAAATAGAGATCGAACCGGAACCAAGTTCCGGACGAAATGACGTTAGACAAGATGTTTGTGAAAAGTCAGGCCAACCAAGACATGTTGATTTCTGCCTTCTTACGCTTCACTTAGGTTGAGTTAAAGTATCTAAAGCTTAATATACTGCATGCCAAAGCTTCTGAAAACAATAGTATTTAGCATTACCTTCATTTACAGTTCTGTTGGATTGAATCAAGTGCAAAACATGGTCTCCCGACTCAGAGCCTACTACAGAACCGTCCATGATAGGAGGACAAGGTCGCAACTTCAGCCAAAATCACCACAGAACAACTTCCTCCGCTCGCCTCGCCCTCCTCGCCCTCCTCGCCCTCCTCGCCCTCCTCGTCGCCAGCCAATTCCATCTCCTCCTCGTCCAAAGCGTTGGGGCCAAGGGTGCTGTGGTGATAACCGGAAATGAGCTTGTGCACAAACAGCAGAGTCATGTCGCGATGTCCCCATGTCATCAAATGATGGATTCAGATTAGGCGGGTTCTCCCTCTAGCTTCTCCCAGACTCCTTCGATGCATTCCTTCTTTCCGCAGTGATGATACTACAACAGGCAACCACACGGGCGGTCACTTCCAACTATTCCCGGTTCGGGTTTTGGTTTGCTTGTCAGCTTGCCTCAAAGGGTCTGAGAGAAACCAAGCAAAACGAAACTGTCAACCAAAGCTAACATTGCAACAAGTCATGGTTGGTTGAGGAACCTTTCCAAAAGCGCTTAACGGCCGAAACCTCAAGCACGACTTCTGCTTGAGAATTGCAAAGTTGCATCTTGCGCGCGCCTCTACCTTTCCAGTGAATCATTGCATGCCTCTCCCACTGCAGCCCTGCCTCGTAGATCTCACCGCTCTCTGCCTGCCGGCGGCAGTGGTCAGTCATCCGGACTTGACTGCTGCAGCTTCGGTTGTCGGCTCAACTGACAAGCGGATAGCAGAAAATAATAAAGTGTTTTTTGTGCACTTTCATGGCCTCAGTCCGGCCTTTCCCATTCCCCATCCTCTTTCCATACTCTCCGTCGTCTCTGAAAATTTCGTGCCGGAGTTCAATAGAGTGGCTTCTGGTGAACCGGAATAGGAAAAGTGATGAGTAGCTCTGCAGGGGAGCCAGTTCCAGATGCGATAAAGCTTCGTTCCTTCACATCGGCTGTGGCTCCGACTGGCTTTGACCGGTGTAGTTGATGTGATGGGGGATTCCACTCTTTGACATTTAGGTGGTGGGGACTTGTGTACTGTCCGCGACAGGATGGCTTACCAGAAGCAACTTGTTTGCATTGAGCTCCGAAACCCATACGAGGTAGCATCCACAAGAACGTCCTACACGAACCCACAACAGGAAAAGCTTTTGCTTACCGCTTTCTTTGCGCGGGTTGCCATGGCGTGTTGTTTTGGGTTTCACCACTTTCTGTTCTGTTTCCCCATGCCCGTTACGCTGAGGGTGTTTTCCATGCCGAGCATGTTATGATGCAGCTGCTGGCGATGAAACTGTGACTTACGTAATGGCAGCCATAAAGAGTCCTTATGTTGCAGGGTGCCTGGTACTCTCCAGTGTCCTCCTGCTCCTCCAGCTGCCTGCACATTGAACCCTGAATCTCTGCGTCTCGGGCTTAGGACTTAGGATGTGATGAACTGTAGTGGCTCAAGTAGTTCGGGTTCAGCATCAGGGTTGAGGCAAGGTGTAGAGGACTGTTCTTCCGGAAAGTTGAAGTCCGAGACAGAATTCAAGAATAGTAAAGTAGGTCCTCCAAACGATGAGAAACCTCGAGGCCTCAACTCCCAACTCTAAGCAACCCGAACCTTCGCTAGCCGCGATCTGCAGCCCCCCATGCCCCCCATCGCCCTCCACCGCCTCAGTTCATCCTCGGGGCCCTCTGGCACATCGGCCGAAGCTTGCTCCTCCAAGAAGACGTGCGGCTTTTCTTGCCGTTCCCGGGGTTTCAACATGTGCTCAACATGTTTTAGAAGCTTCTGGGTCGAATCCTGGCCCCTTAGCGCACCTTTCAGCTCTTTCAAGGGGGTTGCGTCTCAATACTTGGGTTGACGATGCGCTCATTGGCCTGCTTTGCTCTGAGCATCTCTGAGCAGTCTTTAGGAACAGGAAAAACTTCTGATGCTTGCGACGATGCCTGCTCTCGTTTACACTCCTTCCTTCTCCTGATGCTCCATCTCAGCCTTGTTCCCTACACAGCATCAGACATCAAAGCTGGAAGGGGGCCTGCAACGTCGAGCACGGATCCTCCAAACCTTTGGGAGGTACCTGGCATTTCAGGCACAAGTCTAAGAAAAGCTAGTAAGAATAGATAATGGCTAGTCGCGGTTCCAGTTCTCATTAGTAATACCCCTAAACCCCCTAAACTTCCACCCCGCAAACCCAAAGCGCAAACAACTCCAACTCCAAAAAAAACCCAAAAGCAAGTGCAGTCCAGCCTAAAGTAGTGAAACCGAACTGAAGAAGTAGAGCTGAGCTGCAGCAGCGCAAACCCAGGAGTTATTTCCGCATCTGAACGGCAGACGGGCCGATGTAAACATAGTCTGTGTCACGCACTCTTCACGTCTTCTATGCCAAAGCAAAGTATTTTCTGGGGTCCGACACAACCATACTTAGTCCCCAAATCAAAATGCCTCCCGTGCGAAAGGTGAATTTTCGAGCCATCTAAAGCGGCGTGTCGGTAGCTAGCTGTCAGCAATCAGTAGTTGGCAGCTGGTAGTTGGCCACTAGTAGTTGGCAGTTCTTAATTTAGCATTTAGTAGTGGGCAGTTGGTAGCCGTAGTAATAGTTTGTTACGGTCTCATACATTGAAACGTTTTACAGCATCTGAATCATCAGCCTCTGCTTGACCGAGCTCATCTTCACACTCCTCGTCCTCGTCAGGGATCTCAATGCAGCCATCCTCCTCCTGGGTGACACGTTCTGCGGGACGAAAGAAGCGCTTTTAACGAACATCGTGAGTTGAAGATGACGCAGATGGGGGCGTCCTGCAGGAGAGAGAGAGAGAGATAAAATACACAAATCGAAGAAAATGAAATAAAACAAAATAAAATGAAACAAAACAAAAAAATGAAACAAAACAGTAAATAAAGACCCTGGAGGGAAGAAGATTGTTTCTCAGAGGTGAAAAGGGGCTTGTTGTCGTATCCAGTGCTTCTGGGAAGCGTTCAATGCATCTTTGATGATGTCATTCCGGCCTATAAAATATGCCTTTGTGAGCACCAAGTATAATATGTATAATTTAGGAGGTGTCCTACGTTGTTCTGAACAATGGTAATATGCAAGGGTTGCAAAGGGGCGGAACGCAGCCCAAAGCCCCCCGACTAATCTCCACCTCTCAAAAAAAGCCCTCCTCGGGAGCCTCGTCGGTGCCACCTGCACAGAGCAAAGGGTTTAGGGTTTAGGGTTTAGGGTTTAGGGTTTAGGGTTTAGGGGTAAGGAAGAGGAACATGCGCTTGAGGGTCAGCTGGGATTAAAGGGGCGGGTTCTAGCTTGGGGCTGGGGGTTTTGGGTTGCGCGTTGTGATCTCTTGCAAGATGAAAACATCACCGGTCAGAGGTTCCGCAGCTCTCTCATGTTGCAGGCCCTGCCCATCCATGACCTGCCCATCCTGCTTTGGGATTCTAGTCATTTCCATCGTAATACCACGCACTAGTTCACACACAAAGGCCAGCTAAGCCACTAAGCCCCCAGAAGCTTTAAACGTATTTACGGAGATCGATTAGTGGAGCTGGGACTTGCGGCTGCTTGGCGCAGCAGTCCCAACTCGCAGCAAGTTCGGCACCTCAAAACCTCACATACCCAGCATCCTAGTCTCAAAACCCATGTTGCTATGGAGGCATATCCTAACCACAAAGTTTGCAACCGCGATCAAACAACGCCTCCATAAGGATCGAACTCCGCAACGAGGTACGGGTCGAAATGCGCCGCCTTCACGCGAAAAGCTTCAGTTTTTGCAAACTCCCTACCTGCTCTCGAGTTTCAAATCGACATTACTGAGAAAACACAAACCTGCTTCGAGCTCCCTGGAAAGCTCAAGGCTTCCGAAGAACGCTCTCCATTCAAAGAGCGGCGTCCCTCACGCAAAAGCTGGGAATCTGCATTTAGTTCTACCAACACCCGTGCTCAAATCCAGAGCCTGCTATCAGCCTACCGTACATGATAAGAATTGCAGCACTGACGTAACTCGGACAAACAAAAACCATCTTGCCCCAAGTCACACCTCGGCTCGCACGGCTGTCGCCATGCGCTTCAGCTCAAATCATATACTCAATCCGAACTGGTGGCCAGTGATGCTAAGTGTGCTACGGGTGCAATGACCCATGAAAATCTTGGATCGCAGGCGACTCCGGGGAGAAGCTGCATTGACCCATAGTCTGGCACGCGTGCAAGCTAGCCAATTTGAAGCTACTATGTGCCCTGGCGTAGAGCTTCAATTGCATCACCACTTTCGAACAACCGTAGCTTGAAACTAAATCGGCTGCGGTGGGAGGCCAAAGCTGCAAATCTCAGTTTTCCTCCGCAACTCGACTTTTGTCTGGTCGGATGTCGGCGGAAGGGAGAGGAACAGAGAGAGGGGAGGAGAGGGATGGAGAGGGGAGGAGAAGTGAGGTGTTCTGCAGCAAAGACCTGAAGGAATCGCAGCACTAGCCGTCTCTTTTCGGCAGGGCGAGCGTGGGAAGCGTCCGGGTGCACAAGGAGGCGTCAAAGCACTCGAAGGGCTGCTGACTCTGTGACACTAAGGCTCACTAAGGCTTCAAGTGCACTACCAGGTCGAGGGATTCGTGAGGGTTCAGGGGGGTGGCCGTGTACACTCCTTGGCACTGGATGGAAGCAAACCCCTTTCACGTTGCCAGTGTGCCCAAGCCGCCTCCGAACAGGCGGTTGGTAGGGCTCTGAAGTTCCGGCTCCGGGTTAAGCTTAGGAATGAGGGTGCTTTTGCCGGGGCTGAGCATATTGTGTTGAGGGTATGGATTGGGATGTTTGGGTTAAACCGGTGAATACATAGCAGAAACGACCTGAGGTTCTCAAGAAGTTCAAAGACTAGTTACCCACATGCACAGTTTAGGGTTTGGGGCTTAAAGTGCGGGGTCAAAGCTGGCCCTCCAGGTCGAAGCCGTGAGGCCTGCAAGCTGCAGCTTCGTGTCCAGGCCATCCACCTGCAGTCCACGCATCGAAATTTCCAGGGTTTTGGCACTCTGGCCGAGAAACCAGGGGCAGAAGATGGAGAGCTTCGAAGGCACCCTTACCCATTTTTACCCTCTTGTTGTGTTGTCTTCGCAGTCGAGGATTCATGGAGCCGTGAAATTCTCCAGGCCGCTTGAGCTATTCGGTTTCGGAGGCATTGGGCCCTAAAACGCGAACTCAGGCCCTGAAGGCGCACTGAGCCATAAACCCTAAGCATCCCTAAGCCGCCTCAAATAAAAACAACTCTAAGCACCAAAGCGGGGGGTTCCTCAAGCTAACATCATGCCAGAATCAAGCAACATCACAAAATCCCCAAACCCCCCTCAAATGTTAAGCCCTGCTTCCTTTTCTCAAAGTCTAGAGCCACGGATCCCTGCATTCCAACCCCGAGACCCAATGCTAATGCATCCCTTCTCTGCCAGTGGGAAGGGCTTCCTTGCACGATCCAACGGTGAGAAGGGACTTTTGCTTAGACCAACGCACCTGGGTTGCTCCAACCCTGAGCCCTAGAACCTGAACTTTGAACCCCGAAAATTAAGGTTTAAAAGCGGTTGAAGGACTTAGCGTCTAAAGGACCCTGGCTTCAGAGACAGCGGATCCAGGGCCAAAGCACATAAACGCTCCCTGTGTACGAACGAACCCGTCGTGTCCCGGAATCTGAATCCTAAGCTTGGCTGTCCTTCTGAAGCAAGCTTTTCTTGAACTGGCTTAGTACGCTAACCCCTTTGAGACCAAGCAAAAAACAAAACTTTAAAAGCCGCCTCCGGCGGCCCAAAACCCAAACCCCAAACTTCTAAACCCAAATCCCCCCAAAACCCAACATCCCATATCCAAAACCTAACACGTAGAACCAAAACCAACCAAGGAAACCCTCCAAAGACGAAGCCGGTTGCGAGTGCCGGTTCGGAGCTAAAGGCTCTTTGCTGCATGATCTGGAGGTTATGGAAACTTGTTTCTCCGGGCTTTGGAGGCTTTGCAAAATGTTGAGCCGAGCAGCCGGAGGGAGGTCAGGCCTCCAGGCTGGCGGTCAGCTCGGCCAGCCTGAAGTTGAGGAGCGTGATGCGCTCTGGAGGAACAGGCATGAACCGGCAAATGGAGCAACATGGCCAATTTGGGTACAGGGTTGGATTTCGTACCACCCCAGTAAACAAAACACAAAATGGGCTAGACTACGCTGGCATGGTGTGTCACCAAAGACGTTGCATAGTCCTCGGGGTTGGGTGTCGCACCATCCCAGTACATAAAACACAACATGAGTTAGACTACGCTGGCATGCTGTGTCATCAAAGAAGAGGCGCATCGCCATCCCGGTGACAAGACTGTCCCTGCTGGCTGGGCCAAAACAGCACTATGGCGCTACGTTTCAATGTTGCGTGGTGCCTGCGTGTGATCCGCAAGTTTCCGAAACTGTGAGCTATGCCTGCTGAGTTTGCGGAGTCTTGGTGTCTGTGTCTCTGTGTGTCTGTGTGTGTGTGTGTCTCTTTGTGCGTGTCGGTGTTTGTATTTCTGTGTTTGTGTGTGTGTGTGTGTGTGTGTCTGGGTCTCTCTCTCTCTCTCTCTGTGCGTTTCTGTGTTTGTGTGCGTGTGTCTGTGTTCGTGTCTGTGTGTGTCGTGTCTGTGTGTGTCTGTGTTTGTGTGTCTGTGTTCGTGTGTCTGTGCTTGTGTGTCTGCGCTTGTGTGTCTGTGCGCGTGCGTCTCTGTGCGTGCGTCAGTGCGTGCGTGCGTGCCTACCTGCCTCTGTGTGTGTGTGTGTGTCTCTCTCTCTCTCTCTCTCTCTCTCTGTGTCCGTGTCTGTGTCTGTGTCTGCGCGTGTGCGTGCGTGAGCATCTGTCTGTCGCATGTTGAGTTTATTTTGTTGTATGGGTACATATATATATGTATATGTACCCATAGATATTTTTTGTGCATGCACGTGTCAACTCGATCCTGTGGCTGAGCCAAGCGGCAAGTTTCTGGCCTCACAGTGTGCGGAGTCCTTGTTTCGGACACCGCACTCTACCTTGGAAAGCGGTGTTGAAAAGCTGCGGCGTCTGCATGGCAGGTAACGTTCTGAAGTGGAAGCAAGACGCAGCGGGTACCAGCACCTCGGCGGCGGCATCGAAGTCGCCCTTGAGCTGCAGCAGCCTTCCATTCCAGAATTTATCGAATTTTTGGCTTGGGCTGTAGCCGGCGCAGCCGCGGCGAAATGTTGCGAAAACTGCAATTAAAGGCGAGAACCCGAGAACGTTCACAGCCCCAGGCCCCAGACTTCCTCTGTGGCGTTGGTTTGTTTATCTTGTTCGGAATTGGTCGCCGCCCTCGGAATGGGGGCAGTTAGTCTTCTGCGTGCCCACCCCGCCCACCCCCACAAAACCCCGCCGAGAATCCCACAGAGTATCCTTGGAGCGCCCACGCCCAGAGAATCCTCGGCGAGAGAATCCCACAGAAAATCCCTGGAGTGGAAGGCTTGGCTTGGGATAGGTTCGACTAACATACTATGGCAGAACACCTTACTGGAGTGCCCACCCAGGACAAAGAATCCTGCAGAGAATCTCGACAGTCCTGCTCTTGCCGAGTATCCCTGGAGTGCCCACCCCGAGGTATCGAGTGCTCACCCCAAAAGAACTTAGAGAACCCACAGAGAATCCCACCGAATATTCCTATAGACTGCCCACCTCGGCGAATCCCAAACTAAATTACACGTCGGTTCACAAGGCATAATTACCAATTAAGGTTTGCGAGGTTTGTGGGGTAGATGGGGGAGGTAGATGGGGGAGGTTTGTGATGCGGGGTTCGGGTTTTTCAGGAAGGGTGAGGTAGGGGAAATTCTTTTTGTGGTAGGGGGGGATCAGCACCCATCCGTTAGATAGCGAAGAGAAGATGAGCATAGTTTCGTGCAAACATATGTCGATCAAGGCTCCCCAAGACAAAAAAAGACCTTAGAAGCCTTCAGTACCCTTGCTTCGAATGACCCCCCCAAAAAGCCGGATCACCTTAGGCGCCGTCAACACCCACAGAACATGTCAAACAGAATTGGGGTAAACACCTTGTTTCGGCGACAGCCCAACCATCTGGGAGTTGTGGCGGAAGCTCACACTGCGCACAAGCAAACGAGGGCCAAAGAGCATTTAGGATTGGAGCAGATTCCGTGTTCCGAGGGGCAAGAAAAGTCAAAAAGGATCGGGGTAACTTTTGTTTTAGGGATTGCTCAATCCTGGGCGCAAGCATACATGTCAAATAGGGTCGGGGTCAATGTGTTTTGGTCAGTCCTAGTTTTTCTATCGGAATGTTGCCCCGTGAGCATCTTTGCAGATGATGCTTGCAACTCCAACAAGGGGGTACAGGACAGCCGCAAATAGTGGTTTCCACCATGAACCCTTTAAAGAAACCTCCATGCTTTGAGATGCATGCGCTTGCATACCTGCGTTTGAGTGGCATGCAGACTCGCAAGCCGGGCCGCGCGGTTGCACAGTTACATTTCCGGGGTTGGATAAACCATTTGCCGCATCATCTGCCCTCCCACGCGCGAACGTTGGAAGCGTGTGCCATTGAGATGCATCGACTTACGTCGGCGTGTGCTTTTCGACCTGTCTTCCGGGAGAACAACGCTGGAGAGCAAGCGCCAGAGGATCCCGCAAAGTATCCCAAATACCCGAAGGGGGGTTTAGGGTTCAGCCCGCAATTTGGTTTGTCTTCGGGGGATGATCGAAATAGCTATTCTTGCTCTCAAAACCGTTGTGCCATCCTGGCCAACCGCAGCGCGCTTCGAATGCCGTCAGTCCTTGGCGTATTGACTTGCGGAGAGAACTCGAGAAGGGCCTTCTTGAGGAGTCAAAAAAAGTGGAAAACTCAGGTCTGCAGCATGTGCTGAAGCTCTTCTTCAGCCGGGCATCGCCAGCTGGGCGTGCAGGCGCTGGCATTTGGCCCTGGCATGGCCCCTGACCTTCAAGCTCACGGGAGCTGTGGAAGTTGACGCTAAGGATACACAAAGGCATCCCAAACTCGATCCCCGCACGAACCGCCACCTTGCAACAGCACGTCTAAATTGTCTGCAAAGTTGCCGGCCGCGCGTCTGGCGTG